ACGGACAATCAAGAACATAATGGGCAAGGGTGTGAGACCTTAACATACCACATAGTTTACACTTCGTATCATTATCATGAACACCTATCCCATATTCCCAGTAATATTTGTACCCAAGCCTGAGCCGCATGTACATAGAGTCACTCCAAGCATTTCTCCTTTTACCATAAGTGAAATGGGTGTTTTGACTCACATACATGTAGTGTTGCATGGTTTGACTTCTCTCATACATTATCTCTCTCCTCTCCACTCCTGCCTGTGCCTGAATATTTCTGATTTTGCTTCTTATTTGTCTCATTGTGAATTCACATTCAATATCAACTTGTGGTTTTGATATGGCACGTTTGGCCAAGTCATCCGCCACCTCGTTGAGCACTATTCCAACATGAGATGGAATCCACATGAATTTCACACTATGACCTTTCAGCTGTATCTCAGTTATTCTTCTCTTACAATCCTCAACTATAGACATGAAGACTGGGTTTCGACTGTTTAAGGACTCCAGTGCTCCTCGGCTATCGACAAATACAAAAACATCTTTGTCGTCATGACGTACTTCCTCCAAACACGCCAGAATGGCCTGCAGTTCAGCTTGTGTGGATGATATATAATTACTAAGCCGGAGTTCAATTATCCTGTCCACAGTCCCAGCTCCGTATATTCCCTTATTAGGACACCACACCCTGCCCTGCCATCCTCAGCCACCGACCCGTCGCAATATACATGTAAACTGTTGCCTCTTGGTAACCGAGATATCATGCTTCCATACAAACACCGTAATTGTCCCGGTTCATGATGAATCTTAGATATTGTTAAACAGAAAGTTATTCAAGATATATTACATTGAAATTAAAGTACAGGTAAACTTTAAAAATAATTTGTTATTGTGTTATAACACTGTAATAGTGGCCTTGCAAGAATTTACCATTTAATCACCTAAATCTGAACTTGAATCTCCAAGGGTCGATTTACTGCCCCCCCCCCCCCCCCCAGCCCCCACAGAATGCAGCCCCCACAACAAGCTGACTATAACTCCTGAGTACCTACTTACTGCGTTTATTTACTTAATGACTACCGGAATAATATCTTGCTATGATAAATCTGATTATCTTTTCATAAAAGGCATATTTATTACAAGTCACAAACAAAAAATGCATATACATAGCTGGCATGAAGGAATTACCAGCAGAAATATAATAATTATTATTATATTTTGATCCAAGGGTTTGTGTAGTAGAGACAAACTTGAGTTATATACAGTTTAAGTAAAGCTACGACTGCTCTGCTCTCACAACCCTATATACCTTCTTGTATATTCATAAATATATAAATGGGTTCCTGAATCGCGACACAACCCCCACGACGATGGTAAGAACGAAAAGTTAACTAAGTACTATCGTAACTACTTCGTGAATCCGGCCCCTGGCTGTAAATATTACCTCTTCCTTGCCGCGTAAATAATCCCTTGAGTGTTCACACAATAGCATTATATGGTATAAGGATAACCAAACCAGAGGCATATTATGTCAATGGGAACACAACCTGAGCGTTCGCTTTATACAGTAATGCTTACCTTGAGCAAGACTTGCTTTACGAAGCCCAGAGCCTCAACAACATACTTCCTCACTAAATAAAGTACTTCACAAACTGTTACTTATATTATCCTCTTTCACTTCGTGAATTTCGCCTGGCTCTCACAATGAATGTTGTCACTGGGCAATGGATATATTAATCAAATAGAACTATAATTACATGCTGGAAATTGAAATTGAAATAAGTTTATTTGGGTAAAATACACACAAAGGGATGAGGTAGCTCAAGCTATTCTCACCCTGTTACATGCTGAAAGTTGCTTAATGGCGGCGCCTCCCCCACAAGGTGTTACAGGCTACGGAACTTAGAGGCTCACCTTGAGGTCTGTAGTCTTCTCAGGTCGTGCTGGAATCGCTCCTAGGCTCCGGAGGTAGACCGAGTGGAGATCGCAGGTGGTGAGGTTCCTGTAGACAGCCAGAAGGGTGCGTTATTAAGCCAGAAGTAACCGGCGGGAGGCTGGGAGTCAGCGCGCAAATGTGCACTTGTCTTCTCTGCCGGAGAGTCAGTGTTCCCAACTCAAATTTCCGTTTTACATCTAAAAGAGTTGAAAAAAAAAATAGATTGTCCCAGATATACACTAAAAAAAATATATTAGTAGGCATCCATCAGTCTTTCCACTATATTACGTATTACTAATTCCATGAAACATAGCACAGTTCATGAAAATATTTGTAATTACAGAGAAAATTAATGAAATAATATAGCCTAATAATGCTACTTTGACGTTTCTCAGTTGACACAAAAACGCATCCTCTTCCTTTCCATCACTAGATGACTTTGGGTGAGAAAAAAATTTGATTTTTTTTGTAAGCAGCAATTGTTTCGATATCATTCAACACCTTGAACACCTTGTATGTTAGTAAAGAGTTGCAACATTGATATGGCACTAATAAATCAGTCACTGTGACTCCCTAGGTCCTTGTCGTTGTTCTATGTATCTTCTAAATGTGTCTGTCTGTTACCTGATGTTGCATGCCATGTCGTTCTTGATATTACTGAACAGGTGCATCCATGGACACTTTTAAACTCGACGTTCATAGCTCGGATGAAGTCAATTTTACTTGAACATGTCCACGGCTACAGCCATTGATCTCACATGAAATGTGTCCTTCCTTGGTACACTCAACACTCAAGTGTCTGTCCCCGGGAAGAAATAGACGACTTAGTTGGCCTAGTATTTCCATTGTTGTTGAAAAAAAAGACATCTCACAGTTTGCAGTGCTTGTTTAGAGGGCCACTGGACCACAGTTCCTGGGCTCCCACACACGCCACTGGTCACCACCTTCGTTCTTCAGATAAGTTGGCTATTCTGAAACAACATCAATTAGGTGAGCAACATCAACAGTTGTGAAGCTTAGGGAGACAGATAATCACTCAATGGCTACCTGTCAGTGACTGAACTCCTTTGGGCCAATCGCAGCTGCCCCTTGTGTGACGTCTTGCACGGGCCTCCTGCTGATTGGCTGTTGCTTCAGTGTTTAGGGCCGTTTCCATGGTAACGTCATGTATTGTGCTTCAAGAACCTTCCGACGTCGCCTGTCTTTGGTAGCAAAATTATCCATCCTGTAACCCCAAATTTGCATTTATTCTTATCCTACCTAGGTTCTTCTAACATAATAATGATGCCCTGCACGGCTTGAAAATGGCCCAGGACGGAACAAAACGTTATCGTTTCTTCACTTTTTGATGTGTGGTTTGGTCATCAATGATACCCTAACTAATAATCAGAGTAGAAAAGAAGGTGTAAGAGCGTGAACATGTCTCGTACAGGCTCTATGCTAAGCTATGGGCGGTACCTTGCCGCTGCTCAACATTCGAATGAATATTTTAGCTGCTAAAGAAAACAGATTTGAAATTAAATTCTTATGAATACCATCCCATGTTGACATCTCAAGGCATGACACTGTTGATATGCTTGCAAAGTCAGCCTGTAGAAAACCAGTAGCAGAAATTAATATGGCTGTTTCATTAGCAGTGACAAAGAGAATACTTAAACAAATATCTAATGAAAATCTCACCGACTTAACAAATTAACAAAGACCTGAAAGTTGTAGCATTAAATATTATGATAGATATCGTGAGGAGACATTCACATATGGAACTAATAGAGCAAGAACTCGGCAATGTGATGTTATAGTGGCCAGAATACGCTTGGGATATAGACGTATCTGGCAGCTTTCTCAAACCCAATTGAGCAATTTGGAGCCACCATTCCAATAAGTCTCGGTATGCCGTCCGGCAGCTCTTCAAATTAACAATATAAAGAGTGATAGAAAAACTAAGGGAATATTCCTAGGCTTGTACGTTGACAAAAGACTGAACTTCAACACCCACGGACAGCACACAGCCACAAACGTTTCCATAACAGTTAACATACTGTTAAATGTCACATACTGAGACTCTTACTCTGATCTGCTCACACTGTATTACTTACTGATTTGTCATTATATAACTTAAGGTATCATCACGAATCTTGTTTTTTACTAGATTCATGGCAGTAGCTTCGTGTCACTTTCCTCTGCCAGCTTCGTGACACTTTCCTCTGCCAGCTTCATGACACTTACTTCTGCCAGCTTCATGACACTTTCCTCTGCCAGCTTCATGACACTTACTTCTGTCAGCTTCATGACACTTTCCTCTGCCAGCTTCGTGTCACTTTCCTCTGCCAGCTTCGTGACACTTTCCTCTGCCAGCTTCATGACACTTTCCTCTGCCAGCTTCATGACACTTTCCTCTGCCAGCTTCGTGTCACTTTCCTCTGCCAGCTTCGTGACACTTTCCTCTGCCAGCTTTATGACACTTTCCTCTGCCAGCTTTATGACACTTTCCTCTGCCAGCTTCATGACACTTACTTCTGCCAGCTTCATGACACTTTCCTCTGCCAGCTTTATGACACTTTCTTCTGCCAGCTTCATGACACTTTTCCCCCGTACCCCAATTTGTAATCCTCCCCCTCCCTAACTCCCTCCCTAACTCCCTCCCTCCCCCTCCCTAAATCCCTCTCTCCCTCCCTTCCCCTCCTCAACCCCTAACCATTTTCCCCCACCCCCACTATTCCTTCCAACCTCTTAGATCCCTCCTTCCCCCTGCATCTTCCCCTCCTTCTCTCCTATCCTTCCCCTCCCATTTTCCCATCCAACTTTCCCTTCCCCCACTGAACCATCCCCTCACCCTCCTGGTGTATCACATCCCCCCTCCCCGCTGGCCCATCCCCCCTGGCCCTACCCTCCCTTCCCGTCAACACAGACCCATTTACCTGACGAGACACAGACAAGCGCTGAAGTTAGCAACAATGTCGCCAGCTAATCTGCAACCGCTAACCCTCAACCCCCCCCCCTCCACCCGTCCTTTCACCCTCCTATCCCCCTCCACTATCCCGGGACCCCCCTTTCCCCCTCTCCCCTGTGCATAGCCAGTGCTCTCTCTCCCTCTCTTTCGTCTCACCGACCAGTCGCTCTCACAGCTCTCAATGGGACTCTCTCTCTCTCCCTATCACCTGTTCTCACCTTTTGTCGGTAAGTGGCACTGTTTTATGGGTTAGTGGCACTGGTTTTTGTGGTAAGTGTAGCTGTTTTATCAGTAAGTGACACTATTTTATTCGGTCGTAGCGCTGATTTATAAGTAATTGGCGCTGTTTACCAATAAATTGTCCTGTTTTATAACTTAGTGGCGCTGTTTACCAATAAATTATCCTGTTTTATAACTTAGTGGCGCTGTTTACCAATAAATTGTCCTGTTTTATAACTTAGTGGCGCTGTTTACCAATAAATTGTCCTGTTTTGTAACTAAGTGGCGCTGTTTACCAATAAATTGTCCTGTTTTATATTAAGTGGCGCTGTTTTATCAGTAACTGGTTCTGTTTTACCAGTAAGTGCCAGGTGTTTTGTTGGCAAGTGGTACTGTTTTGTCGGTAAATGTCACTGTTTTATGTATTGCTCATCAATGACTTGTTGATTCAGCGGAAGTGTGAAATCTGTTGGACAGGCGTGGTGACCGCCGGCCGGGTCGGACGTTCCTGAGGTCTCTCCGCACTGGCTAGTGTTTACGTTGGGTGATCGCTTGTTTGCCCTGCTGGTGGTGGTTTGCCACTGACGGGGTGACGTTTGCTTCGCCATGGGGACGTTTCGCCCTCCATTGCAGAGGACGCTGTCAGCTGGTCTGGCGTTTACGGTGCCGGTGGACCATCCATTGGTTGGTGTCGCCCTAGTAGACGTGCTGCATGTGCAGCTGTCTGACCTGGTGGGCATCCAGCTGCTTCAGGGCCACCGTGCTGTGGTCAAGTTCCGCCTCCAGGCTGCCTTTCAGGCGTTTCTCGAACGGTGTGAGGGGCGTGTTTACCCTCTCCCTGATTCAGCTGGCTCAGTTAAGGTAGTGAATCTTAGTGTCACCTTGACGTCTGTGACGGTGCATGGTGCCCCCTTCGAATTTCAGGACGACTTTTTAACCTCCTGTTTCGAACGGTTTGGGACAGTGTTGAGTGTTCGTTGGAACAAGGTCGTTGCCGGGCACTGTGTTGGTATGCTTGACGGCTCCCGCACCCTGACGATGTCGCTGGAGGGTAGTGTACCGTCGTCGATGTCCGTGTTGGGATACACGCTCCGCTGCCAGTACCGGGGTCAACCGCGCACCTGTTATCGGTGTGGTCACGAGGGTCATCTGGCTGCTGCGTGCGACGTGGGAGCGACTGGTCGTGTGCATGTTCTTCGTGCGGAGGATTTTCCGCCCCTGTTGCGTTCGGGCGGTGTTGGTGCTGTGCCTGAGGCGCCTGCCTGCCTGTCTGCTGCTCCGCCTGTTGAGGAGAGCTCTCCAGCCTGTGCGCCACGTCTAGTGCCAGCTGTGGCCCCTGGGGTTGTTCAGCCGGTGTGTGAGGGTGTCGGGCTGTCGCCTGAGCTGTGTGTAGTGAAAGGTGTCCCGGTGGAGGTTCATGTTCCGCCCCCGCCTGTGGATGTGTTACCGGCTCCCGGGGACGCGGGTTCTGCCGTTTTGGAGGGGGTGCTTCGTGGTGAGGTGCCTGCCGTGCCTGAGTGTGTTGCCTCCTGTAGTTCTGCTCTTCCCATTCCTTTGCAGAAGCGCGCGCGTCGGTGTTCTGAGGCTGTTTCCGTGGATGATGTAGACAGTGTGGGTGATGTGGCCTCTGTGGACTCTTCGGACGGTGCGGGTGTGGCCTGTGTGGATATGACGGTGGAGGCTGTGCCTGCGGCGGGGCCTGCTGGGCGTGGTGTGGTGCGGCCTGTCTCGAAGCGTTCGCGGCGGGCTCGGAGTGTCTCCCCCCTTCGTGGTGTGCCTTGGGAGGAGGTGGGGGAGTATGGTGCTCAGCTGGCGTCCCCCGCCGAGGATGATGGTGCTGTGAGGGGCTCCGACGTTGCTCCCTGTGCCCCCCCTCCTGCGTCTCCTGCTGTTGGGTCCCCACAGTGGGGGGTTGTCCCTGATGGTCGGGACCTCGTTGTGAAGTTGCGGAAAGATGTGCGCCAGGGAGCCTCGGCTCCTGTGCCCTGTGGTGGGGTCGCTGCCGCGCCTGCAGTTCCCCCTCCTTCCTTGCCCCGGTCTGGGGGTTGCCTAGTCCTGTCTGCTGGGGTCGTGCCCTGTGAGGGTCCGGAGTTGGGCCCTTATCGGGATGCCCGGGTGCTTCCGATCCCGTGGTGCTCGTCAACCATCTGGGTGTCGTCAAAGAAGGAGTTTGTTTATAGGGTGCCGGATAGGATGTCTCAGCCGAGGGTCCAGCCTGATGGCAGGCTGCCCGCCGACCTGTGGGTGGTTTGGGAGGCGTACCGCTTGCGCTTTCCGTACCGTAAGTTTCCGGAGAAATATTAGTTCCCGTCTTGCGCGCACCGCTACGCCGTGCCTGGATCAGCTGTCACCGTGACCATGACGCCCCGCCCCCCGGTGCGGGGAGTCTCCCTCTGACGTTCGCCTCTGTTTTCGTCGCCACTCCTCTCTCTACGGCCCATCACGTCTACCGCTTTTGACTTTCTTCTCCTCTTTACCATCAACGCGTCTCCTTACATCTGTTCTGGTGCAGTCATCGGGAGGGTTACCCCTTCATGCAAACTGCACCTATTCTCAAGAAGAGAAATCTGTTGAAAGTATTTATGTGCGTCAGGCTGCGAACCGACGCGTCCAACAGCCTGGTTGACCAGACTATCAACCAGAAGGCTTGGTTAGAGACCGGGCCGCGGAAGGGGAAGGGGAACTATCACCAGAAAGCGCCAATTAAGCAATGACGACTATATAGCACTTGGAAGGGGTTCAGGATCGGATTTGGGATGGGACGGGGGGAAGGAATGGTGCCCAACCACTTGGACGGTCGGGGATTGAACGCCGACCTGCATGAAGCGAGACCGTCGCTCTACTAACCAGCTCAAGTGGTTAATACATTGTTTGCTTGTGTGTACTCACCTAGATGTGCTTGTAGAGTCGAGCTATAGGCTCCTAGCCCCGCCTTCCGAACGTACGTAGATAAATGCAATGATTCTTTCCTCACGCTTTTATCATATTTACATTTAAAAATTTGGATCGAATTACCTTGAACGATTTCTACGTCTGACCTATTGTGCTTATTGACGGCCCTAACACTGGAATGTTCTTCCTCGTCTCTCTGACTCATTTGCGTCTCCAGTCTCCGTGTGTGTGTGTGTTTGTAATTACCTAAGTGTAGTTACAGGATGAGAGCTACGCTCGTGGTGTCCCGTCTTCCTAGCACTCTTTGTCATATAACGCTTTGAAACTTTGTCTGTGTATTTGTGTGCGTGTGTCTGTGTATTTGTGTGTGTTTCTGTGTATTTGTGTGTGTCTGTGTATTTGTGTGTCTGTGTATTTGTGTGTGTCTGTGTATTTGTGCGTGTCTGTGTATTTGTGTGTGTCTGTGTATTTGTGTGTCTGTGTATTTGTGCGTGTCTGTGTATTTGTGTGTGTGTGTATTTGTGCGTGTCTGTGTATTTGTGCGTGTCTGTGTATTTGTGTGTGTTTCTGTGTATTTGTGTGTGTCTGTGTATTTGTGTGTCTGTGTATTTGTGTGTGTCTGTGTATTTGTGCGTGTCTGTGTATTTGTGTGTGTCTGTGTATTTGTGCTTGTTTGTGTATTTGTGTGTCTGTGTATTTGTGCGTGTCTGTGTATTTGTGTGTGTCTGTGTATTTGTGCTTGTCTGTGTATTTGTGTGTGTCTGTGTATTTGTGTGTGTCTGTGTATTTGTGCTTGTCTGTGTATTTGTGTGTGTCTGTGTATTTGTGTGTGTCTGTGTATTTGTGTGTCTGTGTATTTGTGTGTGTCTGTGTATTTGTGTGTACTCACCTAGTTGTACTCACCTAGTTGTGTCTGCAGGATCGAGCATTGACTCTTGGATCCCGCCTTTCGAGCATCGGTTGTTTACAGCAATGACTCCTGTGTATGTGTGTCTGTGTATTTGTGTGTGTCTGTGTATTTGTGCTTGTCTGTGTATTTGTGTGTGTCTGTGTATTTGTGTGTGTCTGTGTATTTGTGCGTGTCTGTGTATTTGTGCTTGTCTGTGTATTTGTGTGTGTCTGTGTATTTGTGCGTGTCTGTGTATTTGTGTGTGTGTGTATTTGTGCGTGTCTGTGTATTTGTGCTTGTCTGTGTATTTGTGTGTGTCTGTGTATTTGTGAGTGTCTGTGTATGCATTTGTGACATTTCAATTGCTAACCACTTTAGACTTAAAGCCTCAATTGGATACTTGTTACATATCTTTCAGATCCTCTCTTATTATGGTGTAACTTTAGTCTTTTGTAACACTTGCTAAAATATTCAATGTAATATGAACTGAAATATTGTATAACTATAGGGGTTTATACCCTGGTGCTCTTAAGTTTAAATCCAGTAAGTATCCAGTAAGTTCAGTAGAACTTCGGTTTCAACTCTTTTACCATGTCGTAGCTCAGTCGATTAAGTATGATTGTATGGGTGGTCTGCCCCCCACGTGCGATACACTCAGGAATTTTTCCATTCTAATTGTTTGACAATTATCGTACACCTCCCAAGGAGGGGGAGATTAATTATGGAAGCGTGAGGGAGGAAAGGATTGTTCCCATGAAGATGTTTGCACAACCAAAACAACTCAACTCTGCAGGTGGCTGACCTCTGACCGGGCAGAAGGGTAGGTGTCTAGGTGTCACAATGGGTGTTGAGTGGCACAGTGGTTAGAGCTGTAGGCTACCGTTCTGTTGCTCTGTAGTTTGAGGCTTCTATGGCCCTGAGTTTAATGAAGTGTTATTATCCACGTGTATTGGTTCGCAGTTTATTTGAGAGGCATGCTTAACAGTGCCTCGTGTCAGCAAATGATTTCATCTGTCATAAGGTTCAAATGTGTTTTGTAATTATGTATAAATATTTCCAGAATGAAGACGAACAGAGACAAATACAATATATATATATTTCGACCAAGACGTCTGCAGTCTTCACCAACATCAACATCGGGAAACGTTGCCAGCAAGATGAGTGTATGCAAGTTGCGAGGGACCCCACTACTGACGGTGTTGCTATTGTTGGTGGCCGTGGGTGTCCTGCTGGAGATGGAGGCGCCCCAGGCCACACCCGACGCCCTCACCATCCAGGACCACAGGCCTCTCCGCTCCTTCGGGAAGGATGGACGTCAGGGCGAGACAGCTGTCAGGGTTGTACCGAAGAGCGTCAGTCGTCCTAAGAAGTATGGACTTGGCGTTCGTGGTCCTGTTAACTTGTACCTGGACATGGGTGGTGTCAGCGGTGTAGAGTATGGTGATGATGATACATATGGTGTCAGCGGTACAGAGTATGCTGATGCGTTTGGTTTCAGCGGTACAGAGTATGCTCCCGCTGACACATATGATGTTAAATACGACAGTCAGTTTGTTACTGACGGTAGTGTACTGACGTACAATCAACATACGAAACGTCGGAAAGAGCTTCATTCAAATACAATTATACGCAAGATAAGAGTTCACATTGAGATCGACGCCTTCGAGGAGTTAGTTGATCTGTTGACATCTTTCACAGCTCATTGTTCGGTGGTGGACACCTCTCAGAGTAGACTCCACTGGGACGCCTTTACCCAACGTAAATATACCCAGGGAAGCTCAAGACACCACCGAGGCGCCCGATCCCGACGTAAACATGCCCAGGGAGGCTCCAGACACCGTTCGGGCGCCCGATTCCGACGTAAGCATGCCCAAGGAGGCTCCAGGCACCGCTGGGGCGCCCGATCCCGACGTAAACATACCCAGGGAGGCTCAAGGCACCGTTCGGGCGCACGATACCGACGTAAACATGCTCAGGGAGGCTCCAGGCACCGCCGAGACGCCCGATCCCGGCGTAAAGATGCCCAGGGAGACTCCAGGCGCCGCTGGGGCGCCCGATCCCGACGTGAAGATGCCCTAAGAGACTCAAAGCACCGTCGGGGCGCCAGATTGCGTCGAAAAAATGGCCCGGGAGGTACCATATACCCCTGCAATGTGCACAGCTTCAACGAACGTAACCGGAATGCTCTCGCAAGTAACACCAAGAGGTTGGGCAAGCGATACCCACGCCAGGCGTGGTCCGGGCATGAAGTGATCTCCAGCAAGACTAATGCCACAATGACTGATGCGACAGTGATCAAGAACGTCACCAAGACGCACCTTAAAAGGGCAAACCCCACCGAAAGATCAGTTGGAAGGTGGCCGGCCAGGACAACCAATGGGAAGGAAGTGGAAAACTACCAAACTGTCACCGTCGATGGTCACTACACCTTCTTACAAGACCTGGAGGCTCTCAACCTACACCAACGACTAAGGTTGGACGCGAAATTTGATTTGGCAGAACTCAATTCTCTTCACAAGTATGAGATCATCAGAAAATTACTGCAGGTAAGATCTTTTTTTGCACAGGTGAGACCTTTTTTTTACTTATTTGTTCTTGTTTCAACAGCTGAAACCTTTTTATCCTTTCCAGGTGTGTGTGTGTTTGTGTGTACTCACCTATTTGTACTTGCGGGGGTTGAGCTCTGGCTCTTTGGTCCCGCCTCTCAACAGTCAATCAAATGGTGTACAGATTCCTGAGCCTACTGGGCTCTATAATATCTACATTTGAAACTATGTAAGGAGCCAGCTTCCACCACATCACTGCCTAATGCACTCCATCTGTTAAAGAATATCCCTGCAAAAAAAAACTACTCTGACACTGAAAAAGTTCTTTCTAACGTCCCTGTGGCTCATTTGGGTACTCAGTTTCCACCTGTATCCCCTTGTTCGCGTATCACCCGTGTTAAACTGTTTATCCTTATCTAACCTGTCAATTCCTCTGAGAATTTTGTAGGTAGTGATCATGTCTCCCCTTACTCTTCTGTCTTCCAGTGTCGTAAGGTGCATTTCCCGCAGCCTTTCCTCATAACTCATGCCTCTTAGTTCTGGGACTAGTCTAGTGGCATACCTCTGAAATTTTTCCAGCTTCGTCTTGTGCTTGACAAGGTACGGGCTCCATGCTGGGGCCGCATACTCCAGGATTGGTCTTACATATGTGGTGCACAAGATTCTGAATGATTCCTTACACAGGTTCCTGAACGCCGTTCTGATGTTAGCCAGCCTTGCATATGCCGCAGACGTTATTCTTTTTATGTGAGCTTCAGGAGACAGGTTTGGTGTGATATCAACTCCTAGATCTTTCTCTCTGTCCGTTTCATGAAGGACTTCATCTCCCATTCGGTATTCTGTGTCTGGCTTCCTGTTTCCACCGCCTAGTTTCATTACCTTACAGTTACTCGGGTTGAACTTTAGTAGCCATTTGTTGGACCATTCATTCAGTTTGTCTAGGTCATCTTGTAGCCTCATACTATCTTCCTCCGTCTTAATCCTTCTCATAATTTTTGCTATATTCCTATGTTCATATTCGTTAAAAATGTATATTGATTTCGGTATATCGGTGTAGAATTAAATTTGTTGTTATATAAGATCGCTAATCAGTTAATTACTATGTAATTTTATGCTTATTTCGGTATTTGGAATGAAATGCAAACCAAACTGTCTGGCTCTATATTATAGTATTTCTTAACTGGCTATCCGGCTTCTTAACTGGCTATCCGGGTTATTAACTGTCTATATGGGTTCTTAACTGTCCAATCGGGTTCTTAACTGGCTATCCAGCTTCTTAACTGGCTATCCGGCTTCTTAACTGTCTATCCGGGTTATTAACTGTCTATATGGGTTCTTAACTGTCCAATCGGGTTCTTAACTGGCTATCCGGCTTCTTAACTGTCTATCCGGCTTCGTAACTGTCTATCCGGCTTCTTAATGGCTATTCGTCTTCTTAACTGTCTATCCGGCTTCTTAACTGATTGACATATGATGGCCATGGAAGCTATCCGGCTTCGTAATTGGCTATCCGGCTTCTTTACTGGTTATCCGGCTTCTTAACTGTCAATCCGGGTTATTAACTGTCTACCCGGCTCCTTAAATGTCTATCTAACTTCTTAACTGGCTATCCAGGTTCTTAACTGTCTATCCGGCTTCTTACTTGGCTATCCGGCCTCTTAACTGTCTATCCGGCTTCTTAACTGTCAATCCGGCTTCTTAACTGGCTATCCGGGTTCTTAACTGGCTGTCCAGGGCCCAGATTCACGAAGCAGTTACGCAAGTACTTACGAACGTGTACAGCTTTTCTCAATCTTTGACGGCTTTGGTTACATTTATTAAACTGGTTACAAGCATGGAAACTTGTCAATCACCTGTTGTTATTGTTATAAACAGCCTCCTGGTGCTTAGGAACTCACTGTTAAATAATTGTAAACAAAGCCGCCAAAGATTGAGAAAAGATGTACAGGTTCGTAAGTGCTTGCGTAACTGCTTCGTGAATCTGGCCACAGGTTCTTAACTGTCCAATCGGATTCTTAACTGTCTATCCGGTTTCTTAACTCTCTATCCGGCTTATTAACTGTCTATCCGGGTTCCTGACTGTCTATCCGACTTATTAACTGTCTATCCGGCTTCTTAACTGTCTACCCGGCTTCTTAACTCTCTATCCGGCTTATTAACTGTCTATCCGGGTTCTTAACTGTCTAATCGGGTTCTTAACTGGCTATCCGGCTTCGTAACTGTCTAATCGGCTTATTAACTGTCTATCCGGCTTTATAACTGTCTACCCGGCTTCTTAACTCTCTATCCGACTTATTAACTGTCTATCCGGGTTCTTAACTGTCTAATCGGGCTCTTAACTGGCTATCCGGCTTCTTCAGGAGCTGCGCGGCGTCCTGGTCCGCCGGGGCTACCAGCTGCTCGGGTCGTCAACTGACGGTGTGGACCTCCTGCAGTACCTCCGGCAGGAAGGCCCTCAGCGCCCCCTCCATGTGCTCACTCTCTGGCGCCGCCACCCGTAGCCAGGCCCCGGATTCGGATCCGGATTCACAAAGCAGTTACGCAAGTATTTACGAACGTGTACATCTTTCCTTAATCTTTGACGGCTTTGGTTACATTTATTAAACAGTTTACAAGCATGTAAACTTCACAAGCAACTGTTGTTATTGTTATAAACAGCATCCTGCTGCTTCGAAGCTTATTAACTGTTTAATAATTGTAAATAAAGCCGCCAGAGATTGGGAAAAAATGTACAGGTTCGTAAGTGCTTGCGTAACGGCTTTGTTAATTTGACCCCCAGGCCCCCCCTCCTGGGGCTCGAACCCGGGGAAGACGAGGAAGACAAGGGTGGCGGGAATTATATGACCCCCCAGACTCTGTGTCGTAATTCCCTTTCGTTATGTAGATTGAGGGAGAGAATGGAAGGCATAGAAATAGAAACTAAGGACACACAGTCTGAAGACATCATCATTAGAGTCTTCAGAAAAAAAGTATAAACACAGTAAACAAATCAAAACGATTAAACAATTAAAACAATTAAACAAAAAAGTATAAACAAATCAAACAATAGTTCTATAAAAGTGCTCAACGTGTATATTGCAATGATCAACACAGAGGTAGATCATCAGTCTATGCAGACAGATGAGGAACGATGAGTCTGATGGATAACTTCGCTAATTAAGCCAGAGTGCGAGTAAAACGTAAACATATGAATTTAGGTAAATGATTTGTGCCTCAGAATTTCTTTCTTTGTAAATTTTAAGTAGAGTTCAGCGTGTGTTTCTGTAGAGCCCATCGTGGTCTGATGGGTAAAGACCGCGTCTGGGGGATAGCCAGGTCACAGGTTCGAGACCCTTTCCTGCGTCAGGGATTGTCTCATACATATGTATAATGTTGTTTTTATTGCATTGTATAATACCACACTGTCTGTCTACTGGTAGATCTTCAACAATTCCAGACTCACGGGACATGAGTCCCGACTCATGAAACATGAGTCCCGACTCATGAAACATGAGTCCCGACTCATGAAACATGAGTCCCGACTCATGAAACATGAGTCCCGACTCATGAAACATGAGTCCCGACTCATGAAACATGAGTCCTGACTCATGAAACATGAGTCCCGACTCATGAAACATGAGTCCTGACTCATGAAACATGAGTCCTGACTCATGAAACATGAGTCCTGACTCATGAAACATGAGTCCTGACTCATGAAACATGAGTCCTGACTCATGAAACATGAGTCCTGACCTATAAAACACCTTGCAGAATGGAAATGATCTCATCAAGGGTTTAAAAGTAGACAACCAAAATATATGGCACTAGATCACCTTGGCATAAACAATCAACACAATGTTTACTGAGAATATCAGTGTTGAGAAAGATCAGGTGCAAGAAACATGAGACTGGTGCTGCAGGGTGAGTGAAGCAACAGCCTCATCAATTGGAGATGGATAATCCTATGGCACTGAATTCTTAATCCTTTTGTTATTAATAAAATGAAAATAAAATTGAGATTGAACTGTAAGAAAAAATAAATTTTATTATACTGGCTGTGTCTGAGGCATAGATTTTAGTTGAGGGAGATTGCAAATGCGAGAAAAATAGATTGGGTGAATCAAGCATCACAGGAAGGAATTGTGACTTTAAAACTTTAAACTTCTGTGACATGATGCACTCTCCTGCACCACGTCACAGGCCACATCCGAGTAAACTGTATTCTGTACCTCACGGGATCAGAAGAACGTATTTTATTTTATTCTTTTACTTTTTGCCCCTCCAGGGGCGAGTTTATTGGGCAGCGCCACTCATCCTGTGACTTGAGAAAAGCCTACTCCCACATGCGAGCAATATGTCTTAAGATAAAGTGCTAACCAGACCCCAAACAACAGTTCAAAGGTCATGGGCTACTGGGATTCTAAATTGCCGTAAACCCATCGCTGCATTCAACACAAATAAACTATAAGGAGCTAAACTAAGCAAGTGTTCAGACGTGCGTATGATCATGCACTGTATATATTCTCATGTGCTTTAATTGTTATTTAAATATAATCACAAAACTTAAATTATTCAGCGTAACAGAATCTACGAATTTCTTCCGGAAAATAAGTATCTCTTTGAGATTTTCTGAGGCGAATTAAATTTATGCAAACACGACATGTAAACAAAGGGATCCTTAATATGAAGCTCAGTTACTACTGATGTTCAGAATTGATCAATATTACTTAATAGTAATGTGGCGAAGAATCTAATTACCTAATCTATCTAGTCCAGCTCGTATTCTCCTCATTAGAGTTATTAAGGCCACCACAACAGTTTACTGACCAACCAACCAGTTTGGTATTGGACTCTGGTACACTCTGACAGCCAGGGTGGGACCTCACTACTGGTACACTCTGACAGCCAGGGTGGGACCTCACTACTGGTACACTCTGACAGCCAGGGTGGGACCTCACTACTGGTACACCCTGACAGCCAGGGAGGGACCTCACTACTGGTACACTCTGACAGCCAGGGAGGGACCTCACTACTGGTACACCCTGACAGCCAGGGAGGGACCTCACTACTGGTACACACTGACAGCCAGGGAGGGACCTCACTACTGGTACACTCTGACAGCCAGGGTGGGACCTCACTACTGGTACACCCTGACAGCCAGGGAGGGACCTCACTACTGGTACACACTGACAGCCAGGGAGGGACCTCACTACTGGTACACCCTGACAGCCAGGGTGGGACCTCACTACTGGTACACCCTGACAGCCAGGGAGGGACCTCACTACTGGTACACTCTGACAGCCAGGGTGGGACCTCACTACTGGTACACCCTGACAGCCAGGGAGGGACCTCACTACTGGTACACTCTGACAGCCAGGGTGGGACCTCACTACTGGTACACCCTGACAGCCAGGGAGGGACCTCACTACTGGTACACCCTGACAGCCAGGGTGGGACCTCACTACTGGTACACCCTGACAGCCAGGGAGGGAGAGGGGGGGGGAGTAAGAGAGAATACAGAAGATGAGCAGATTTGGATGTGGGTAGAGAGGAAGAGGGAGAGAGACCCGGGCGCAGCCGGTTGCCTCTCAGACATATATAACAGTGTCTATCAACGTCGTAAACATTTCGCTCCTGGACCTGAAATCAACGTCTCGGTTAATCACCTCCATTAGAGAATTAGCCAGTCCCGTTCCTCCCTGTGAGTGTCTTGGTTCGGTTTCGAATCACTACCCGAAATCCCTAGAGGGATAGAAGAGACTGACTAAGCACCACGACGCGACTATGGCAGCGTGTTCCTGCAGCTTTCTCACATTTGTAAGACTGAGCGCGGCCCGAGCATGTGCCAGAATTTGATGAAAAACTGTACCCAAATGGATCCATGAATGTCGTCGGGGGTTGATCAGTCGTGGGGTGATCCTGAACGGCATGGGTTCGAATCCCCGGTTATATGCCCAGGCTGCCTGTCTCAGACAAAATTTATATACCCAGCCCCTATTCTAGCTGGCGAATCACCGAACTTGCTAAGAATCTGTCACAGAAAATTATAATAGTTTTTTCATTTCATAAACATGTGTGGAAAGAAGAGCAGCGACTCAACACAACCGCTGCCCACCGCGCAGGCCACTATGCACGTGCGGCTCAGGTGTGTGAAGGCAGGTATACCCATCATCGAGGAGTGGTGGATACACAACTCCGTTAACGACTGTACTACCCTCCTGGGAGAGGGGGGCTTCGGCCAGTGCTTCCTCGTGCTGGATAACCAGGGCAAGCAGTACGTGGCCAAGACCTTCACCAGACACACTACCGACCTGCTGATGGAGGCACAGTGTTTGAACCTGTATCGCGGGGTACCTGGAATCCAGCAGCTGGTTGGGGTGTGCCCGTCCACACTCCAGGTCATCAGTGAATTCGCCGGGTTCGACACCATCTCCAGGATCATACGCAGTTCAGCCATGTTTACCAACTACGACAAGTTGTACGTCCTGAAGCAGGTCTTCACGGCCGTGGACCGCATCCACGCCCTCGGGATGTGCCACAACGACCTCAAGTCCAACAATGTTTGTTTGAGGTGGACTGGAATGGACTTCCGGGCCACAGTGATTGACCTGGGGTTAATGAGGCCCCAGGGGACACCTGTTTACTGCGGGGAACCCTCCCTCCGCTGCTACTGGATAGCCCCAGAGTTGAACAACCGAGGCAGGTGTTCAAAACAGTCAGATGTTTATTCGTTGGGTTTTCTGGTGCTGGAGATGGGTGTCCTCGCGTCAGTGCAACTGCAGTTGTGGGTCAACGCTGCACTCTCCCTCTGTCCTGCTCGGCGCCCCAATCTGCAAGAAGGTATAGCCATCCTCAAGTTTCTGTGTCCCGACTCGCCCGGGGACTTCGGTGGTGGTCCCGGGGACATCGGCGGTGATGGTCGGGTTGTCGGTGGTCACAGGGACCCCAGTAGTGATGACTGGAGATCCCGTTGGTCCCTGGGACACCGGTGGTGATGACTGGACCTCCCAATGGTCTCAGGGACCCTGGTAGTAATGACTGGACCTCCCAATGGTCTCAGGGACCCTGGTAGTAATGACTGGACCTCCCAATGGTCTCAGGGACCCTGGTAGTAATGACTGGACCTCCCAATGGTCTCAGGGACCCTGGTAGTAATGACTGAACCTCCCAATGGTCTCAGGGACCCTGGTAGTAATGACTGGACCTCCCAATGGTCTCAGGGACCCTGGTAGTAATGACTGGACCTCCCAATGGTCTCAGGGACCCTGGTAGTAATGACTGGACCTCCCAATGGTCTCAGGGACCCTGGTGGTGATGACTGGACCTCCCAATGGTCTCAGGGACCCTGGTGGTGATGACTGGACCTCCCAATGGTCTCAGGGACCCTGGTGGTGATGACTGGACCTCCCAATGGTCTCAGGGACCCTGGTGGTGATGACTAGACCTCCCAATGGCCCCCTAGGGACACCGGTGGTGATGACTAGACCTCCCAATGATCCCCCAGGGACACCGGTGGTGATGACTAGACCTCCCAATGATCCCCCAGGGACACCGGTGGTGATGACTAGACCACCCAATGATCCCCCAGGGACACCGGTGGTGATGACTAGACCTCCCAATGATCCCCCAGGGACACCGGTGGTGATGACTAGACCTCCCAATGATCCCCCAGGGACACCGGTGGTGATGACTAGACCTCCCAATGATCCCCCAGGGACACCGGTGGTGATGACTGGACCTCCCAATGATCCCCCAGGGACACCGGTGGTGATGACTAGACCTCCCAATGATCCCCCAGGGACACCGGTGGTGATGACTAGACCTCCCAATGATCCCCCAGGGACACCGGTGGTGATGACTAGACCTCCCAATGGTCCCCCAGGGACACCGGTGGTGATGACTAGACCTCCCAATGGTCCCAGGGACACCGGTGGTGATAACTGGACCTCCCAATGGTCCAGTTCCAGTCCAGATAACTGGACCTCCCAATGGGAGGTCTAGTCATCACCTGGTGGTGATGGCTGGACCTCCCAATGGTCCCAGGGACACCGGTGGTGATGACTGGACCTCCCAATGGTCCCAGGGACACCGGTGGTGATGACTAGACCTCCCAATGGTCCCAGGGACACCGGTGGTGATAACTGGACCTCCCAATGGTCCCAGGGACACCGGTGGTGATAACTGGACCTCCCAATGGTCCCAGGGGCACCGGTGGTGATGACTAGACCTCCCAATGGTCCCAGGGACACCGGTGGTGATGACTGGACCTCCCAATGGTCCCTGGGGCACCGGTGGTGATGACTGGACCTCCCAATGGTCCCAGGGGCACCGGTGGTGATGACTGGACCTCCCAATGGTCCCAGGGACACCGGTGGTGATGACTGGACCTCCCAATGGTCCCTGGGGCACCCGCATACACTCACATATTGTGTTCTCCTACCCCCCCCCCCCCACCCCCTATATTTTTTTATATTGTTATTTTTTTATTTAACACTTCATTACACAAAAAGAGTTACAACATTGGTTACATGGAGGGTACAAGGCTACTTGTCACAAGTTGTAGAGCTCCTCCAGCTCCTCAGATGGCGGGCAGGACCCATGGATGCAGTGTGCATTTCCTCTCTGGATCGCCACATTACGGCGCTGAAAGAGGAAACTGGCGGCTCTAGGGTCTCTAGTTGTTTCAATTAGCTTAGAACCCAGCTCCTTGAAAAAACTAGCAGCACTTTTACCCCTGGCACCAAGTGTCTCTGAGGCAATAGGGACAAAATTATAGTGGTGATTAAGAGCTCTGTATTTACGAGACTTGGCTGCTTCCCGGTGATTGGCAACACCACCTGCCTGTACTGCCAATCTCTGTCTTCATACAACACACAGCCCCTCTGTTTATGTCCCTTAACATGCTAAACATACACTCACTCCACATATTCTCATATGCTATCTACATGTACAAAACCTTGTTCCTAAATGCTAATCTTTAACTGAAACTTTTTCTTGACAGATGTAATAGAACCCATATGAGCACCACACCAGAAATAAATATCTCTTTGATATCCCCAGAATCAGACTAAATTTGTGCAATCACTCCATGCAAATAAAAAGGGGCCCAGTCTTTGGAACTCACTCCCTGATGAATCAAAAAATTGTCCAACTCATCCCCTGTTCAAAGGAAAAACCAAAAAGTACCAGTACCTAATTTCATCCTCATAGTTTCCTACCTTGTGCTTCAAACTCACACTGTATCTTGTACTACTCACTTCCCCTATTTTAGTATAAGGTACGTTAGGTTTATGAGAGTACATAGTATTAATGATTTTACATTCGTGTAAAGCCACTATAGCACGCATCGCGTTTCGGACAGGTACTGAATCTAACAGATAATTTTAAGTAGATAATTTGTAGTAAAATTGAAAAAAGATAACAGGTACATTGTAGGAAAATGTTAAGAAAATTAGTAGGTACATTAGAGTGAATGTTAGATTAATTAAGGACCTGCCCGAAACGCTATGAGTGTTGGTGGCTTTGCATGAATGCAAAATTACCAATCTTATGTAATCTAACTAACCCATTGTACCTTCTGCATTAGATGAACTTATAGTTAGTTTTTGATCTACACTGTGTAATCTTTCATATGGAATAGGGTAGCGGCACATTGCTGTATAAACCTAAGCTTGTTAAAAAAAAAGTTCTTGCAAATAAAAAGTATTATTATTATTATAACGTGAATAGACAATCTTATGTAATCTCACCAACCCATTGTACCTTCTTGCAAATAAATTATTATTATTATAATTATAGTACCCCCTTACACATCGACACCCTACAAGAAATAGCCACTGCTTTTCTCAAAAGCGGTGGATTTTCTGCGAGAAGAAAACATAATTCTATGAGTTGCGTCTAACTAAGCTGCGCGCGCACCGAGTGGGGTACTAATATTGAGTGCCGCGAACCCAGCGACCTCTATTTCGCATCCAGCCGCTTCACATACAAAAACGCCCACCCTCCTCCCGGGATCCTCTGCATCCCCTGTTTTCCTTTTCACGGGATGACATTCAGGCAGGCTCAGGCGACACTTTTGTTCTATCTTGCTATGCTTTTGTGTTACCTTTGGGGGTGCTCCGCCGGAACCCCCAAAGCCAAGACATATTAACAAAAATTGTCATTAGTGTAAATGCAAATAATGCAACTTTCAGTTACTAATTATAGATTTAACGATTAATTGTAATTGAGTTATACTTTATAATGGCTATTCACTAATATTATTTCAGGATAATAATTCATTGTTATTCACTAATCTTTATTAGTCACATAATTATTATCCACTTGAACTATCTATTCTAGTCGCCATAATTAGCTATTATGCTTCGTCATAATTAATGTTTATTATTATAATTATTTATTATTATAATTATTTATTTATTATTGTAATTAATTATTTATTATCATAATTAATTATTTATTATTATTAAAATAAAAAAGTCCTCCACTGTGCGCGTTTTCTTCCAACCGCAGAAATAGTTAATAATCTAGTCAACAGATGGCGGAATTATTCTATACCTTGTATTGGTGGTATCTGGCAATACTTAAGTAAACAGATTTGTTTAATTGTAGACCTACATGCTAATTACTTAGATCAGTTTCGTCGCCCCTAAATCAACACAACAACTTAGATCAGTACCTGTGTTCGAAAAATACACCGTTATTGTTTGATTCGTTACTGTAGCAAGAACTTCACTTAAGGTATGTAAATTGATGTATTGATCAATTAGTTTAATACAGTCAAGTAAGATAACTAAGAGGTAAGATAATATCTAACTTATTGAGCAAGTTAGAGGATGTTGATCCGGATATTTTCTTCAGAAGCTCAGATGTAACACAAGGAACAACGGTTTCAAGCTTAACAAGCCACAATGTAGGAGCAGAAGGCCTATTGGCCCATACGAGGCAGCTCCTATTCTATAACCACCCAATCCCACTCATATACTTGTCCAACCCGTGCTTGAAACAATCGAGGGACCCCACCTCCACAATGTTACGCGGCAATTGGTTCCACAAATCAACAACCCTGTTACTGAACCAGTATTTACCCAAGTCTTTCCTAAATCTAAACTTATCCAATTTATATCCATTGTTTCGTGTTCTGTCCTGTGTTGATACTTTTAATACCCTATTAATATCCCCCCGGTTATGTCCATTCATCCACTTGTAAACCTCTATCATGTCACCCCTAACTCTTCGCCTTTCCAGTGAATGCAACTTAAGCTTTGTTAATCTTTCTTCATATGTAAATTACATACAACAGTCCGTCCTGACATACAACAGTCCGTCCTGACATACAACAGTCCGTCCTGACATACAACAGTCCGTCCTGACATACAACAGTCCGTCCTGACATACAACAGCCCGTCCTGACATACAACAGCCCGTCCTGACATACAACAGCCCGTCCTGGCATACAACAGCCAACAATGTATGTAATTTATGTTTTTCAAGATGAAGACGAATTTTATTTGCTATTATAGATTCGAGTAACTTTCCCACAATAGACGTTAGGCTAATTGGTCGATAGTTAGACGCAAGTGATCTATCTCCTTTCTTAAAAACTGGTATCACATTAGCAACTTTCCAAAACTCTGGCACTCTGCCTGACTCTATTGATTTATTAAATATGGTTGACAGTGGGTCACAAAGCTCCTCTTTGCATTCTTTAAGCACCCTAGCAAACACTTCATCCGGCCCTGGGGATTTGTTTGGTTTGAGTTTTACTATTTGTTTAAGAACATCCTCCCTGGTAACTGCTAAACTCGTCAACCTAGGACTGAGAACAGATCATTTTTCACCCACAGGGTTATTAACCCATGGAACCGCCTACCCGCCGAAGCTGTAACTACCAAAACTGTGTAGTTTTAAAATATACCCCAGCTGGAAAAGATGAAGGCAAATGGGGGGGGGGGTCCTTCGACAAGCCGCCAGCTTCCTGTCCTCATCGAAGCCACTAGGGTTAATGGTCCTCGGGGAAAAAAAAACTATATATTTATATATCCCGGTATAACCGTCAGATTCGTTCTGGACGCATAATCGAGAATTCCTGGTTCGAATCCCGAACGGGACAGAAATGGTTGGGCACATTTTCCTTTCACCTAACAGCAAGTAGGTACTCAGAAGCTAGTCGGCGTCAAGTTCAAGTAAGTTTATTGAGACAAGAAAAAAAATAGATCTCAAAGGGATAGAGTAGCTTAGGCTATTTCTACCCCCTTCCACTTCAAGTCCCTCAAGGGGCGCACAAATTCAGTGAGTACAAATACACACATCACAATACAGTACAAGAATCCTTTTAACCCTGGGGGGGGGGGGTTAGTAATGTGGACTTAGTCAGGGGAGGGGGGGGGGCTGCTATAAGCCAAACGTGTATGAATATACTCTGGCTTCCTGTCCCCCAATACGGTGAATTATTATAATATATAAAATATAGAATTATATAAGTATTATATATTTTGTGCATACATAATTCTAAGTTTATTTATATATACAAAAATTGTATTAACAAGCTTAGGTATTCACCTCAAGGTAAGGTAAGGTTCACAGCAATGTGCTGCTATCCTATTCTTTATGAAAGATTGCATACACAGTGTAGATCAAAAACTAGCTATAAGTTCATCTAATATTCCCATCTCACAGGATGGTTATATATATACCTATATATACACATAAGGCGGGAAGGCATTGAGTTACACAGCACCGCTCCTGTGCCAGGTAAGTTCGCTACGGGCTCGCCATAGCCCGTGCTACTTGGAACTTGCTCCGAGTAGCTGAATCTATAACAACAACAAACGGGCATTGAGTTTGAGAGTACATAGCATTGGATGTCTATCCATTTTGTAAAGTCACTAACGTGCATAGCGTTTCGGGCAGGTCCTTTATCTAACATAATTTTAAATTGGCAATGTGTAGCAAAATTTGAAGAATATTAAGAGGTACATTGTAAGAAAACTAATAGATACATTGTAGTAAAATTTGAGGATTATCAACAGGTACATTGTAGTATAATTTGAGTATTATTAGTAGGTACATTGTTATAAAATTTGCGTTCAGAATATACGTTGATAGCGATTACAAAATTACGAAAGGTTAATTACGGACGAACGAGCGTGAGGTTGGTCGTATGGCTCAAAGGTAAACAAACAGGCGTGGAGCAGCTTGGGGCCGATCACCGGCCTGACGCTCTTCTCTAGTGCCTCGTGCAGTGCCACAGCCGCCGCCTTGAGTGCCACAGCCGCCGCCTTGAGTGCCACAAGCACACCACCAATAGTGTTGCGTTAGAAATGGATTCACAGCGAATAAAAGCCCACCAACAAACCTTTTCTGCAGGAATGTTGAAAACTAGGCAGGTGGAGGATAAAGGCAGATTACCGGCTGCTGTAGGTAGGTAGACTCACTAAAATTACTATTATATTTTACTTAATTATATATACTGTACGTGTATAAAGTACTTTGACGTTTATTTGGGGAGCAACAGCTTCAAGCTCAACAGGCCACAATGTACAGGTACAGTTATGTACTATGTACAGAAAACGGATGCTATATCACCCAGAGGGTTTATAAACCAATGGAACTGCCTACCCGCTGCAACGGTAAATGCCAAAACTATACTTAATTTTATAATTCAGATCGATAAAATCATCGGCACAAATGGGGAGGGGGGGGGGGCTTTTAACAAGCCGCCGTCTTCCTGTCCTCGCCGAGGCCACTAATGAGATAGTGGTCCTCGGGTAACTTTGGGTAAATATTTTAGACTAATTTGAGGATCTTTATGATGAGCCTTTAATTGGCCTCGTCTTGTCTGTAGCGACTGTAACTAGGATGGATATACAGGCATGTATGAGGTGCTGCGTTATTGACATACAGGCTTTTTTTTATATACAGTATTGAACTATATGCTACAATGTACAATGTGTTATTTTATTATAGAGATCAATAGTGCATCATTCATTTACATGCATTTTAAATTGGTGTTATTTTAAAACTGGTCTATGGGCTGCTATGCTTCTCTTTTAAACAAACCTAGCCTAGCCTACCCATGCCTAACCTAGTCTAGCCTAGCATAACAAAAATAAGACGATATATTTTCAGTTTTTCCCTGAATTTACCCGAATGCCACCATCCCTCTGGTGACTTTGATGGGGAGAGAAAGCCAGTGGCTTGTCAATGATATTCCCCTTGTTCTTGACGACTTTTGTCTAACTGGATTTTGAACTATCTTGGCATTTATGGCTTCAGTGCATAGATGATTCCATGGGTTTATATCCCATTGGATGATAAACATATTAAGTCCCTGCCAGTTTGGGTTCTGTTCCCCAAAGAGTACCAATGATGTCATTATTAGTCGGCTTAATATAATCTATGCAACCCTTGACAAAAATGAGTTCCCAAATTGGCCTCTTCAGTGACCTGAGAAAGGCCTTTGATACTGTAAACCATAACTCTTAAACTTCATTACTATGGTATCCGAGGCCTTGCTCTGGACTATGTTTGTTTCTATCTCTGTGACAGACAACAATATGTAACTATCAAGCATAGCTTCCCCCACTCTACCATTGACAGTAGGGATGCTACAGGCAGCATCTTGAGACCTCTTCTATTTCTTATATATATCGTTGATTTGCCAAATGTTTCTAAACATTCTCAAACCTATATTATTTGCTGATGATACTACCTTCATCTATTCTGACCTCCACACACTAAATAATAGTCAACAATGAATTAAAAAAAAAAAAGTCCACTCATGGATATCAACCAACAAACTTACACTAAACATAGAGAAGACCTACTACGTTTTATTTTGGTAGCAAATCATCAAATCAGATTCAACTTCAGACAGACAATGTTAACATTACAAGTTCATCATCACCCAGCAAAAATCTGCTATCAGAATAATAACAAATTCTGCTCTCAGACAACACTCAGCCCCCTTGTTTAACTCCCTAAACATGCTAAACATAATCTCACTCCACAAATTCTCTTGTGTCAACTACATTTACAAAACCCTGTTCTTAAATGCAAATCCTGCTCTGAAACACTCCCTGGACAGATGTAATAGGACCCATTATCACCACACCAGAAATAAATATCTCTTTGATATCCCCAGAGTCAAACTTAATCTGTGTAAACACACTATGCAAATAAAGGGACCCATTCTATGGAACTCATTCCCTATCGAATTGAAAAGCTGTCCAACTTTCGCGTCATTCAAAAACAATACTAAAAAGTACCTAATTTCATCTTCTAGTTTTTTACCTTTTGCTTTAAAATTGCACTGTATCTATTGCTACCCAATCTCCCAATCTTTATGTACCCAATCTGAACTTCTTTATCATTGTAATCATTGCTGTCTTATATGTGCTGTCAATCTGCTGTATAGTGTCTATTAATCTTGTTTAAATTACCAATCAAGCTGTCAATGTAATCAGAGCTTTAATATACCAATGTGCTTTAATATACTTACTAATCTCTCTCCTCTCATTTTTTTTCTTGCAATGTATTTATCATTTTATTAATTCTGATAGAATTTACCTACTTAAAATTATCTATTAGATTAACCCTTAACATGCTAGGGGTATAATATCCTTTCTTCTCCACAGGCGCATGTAATTTTGAAAAAAAAAAAATTTTTTCTTCCTAACCTGTTAATTTGTGTTCACTGATCACGGGAAAAATAATAAAAAAATCGTAAGTGGCATATATTGCCCGCTATAGGGCGGGGAAGTCTGGCAAAAAATAGGCGCTGACTCAGCATGCGTCCCAGGCGATCTGTTGATCGCCAGCTGTCAGGCCGGAGTTGCCACAGAGATAATTACCTAATTATTTCAATGTGTCTGATTTTTCATAGTTTTTTTGCTGTAATATTATTCAATAGTGTGTAGTTTGATATATTTATATAATAAAATGTGTGAATCATCGCTGTACTAAAAAATATGGTGTGCTTATTGTTTATTCAATTATGTTCATCAAACAATGAACAAATACTTTGTCTGTTATTACACTCTATACACAGGTTATATATAAGTATCTGCATGTTTTGTTCACCATAACGAACCACTTAGTAGCTATTATGTGTCAAAAAGTAACGAGGAGTGACCGCCGTGTACCAGCCAGCCACTCATGCCCTCCCTCAAGTCACCTGACTTGCCCACATTCTCCTCCCACAATACTGTTTTTGCTTTTATTCACTATATACAGACGCTATATATAAGTATCTACATTCGTGTTCACCATAACGAGCCACTCTCGTTATACTATGCACTAATCTATCCCTATCTTCGTCTCTAGACACCTCTATGTGCTCTTATGTTGTTTTGTGGAATTCTTATTGTATGGTTCCATGAAGATTTCATTTTGTATAAACACACTTTGGAACTTTTCATTTAATGTTTCACACATGTCCTTTTCATTTTCCGTGAATCTATTTCCCATTTTCAACCTCTGAATATTATCCTTTACCTGCAATTTGTTGTTTATGAATTTATAGAATAGACCTGGTTCTGTTTTACATTTGTCTGCAATCCCTTTTTCAAAATTTCTTTCTGCCTCTCTCCTTGTGGGATATTTGGGGCTTGAATCTGATTATTTAAATATTAATGTAGTAAATTAATTACGAAGGACCACCCGCTTTTATAGTAAAGAGAGAAACTGAGAATTTCTGATCACTAGATAATTCCTAGATGAAACCAGTAACTATGGATAGGCCTCTTCAGTGACCTGAGAAAGGCCTTTGATACTGTAAACCATAACTCTTAAACTTCATTACTATGGTATCCGAGGCCTTGCTCTGGACTATGTTTGTTTCTATCTCTGTGACAGACAACAATATGTAACTATCAAGCATAGCTTCCCCCACTCTACCATTGACAGTAGGGATGCTACAGGCAGCATCTTGAGACCTCTTCTATTTCTTATATATATCGTTGATTTGCCAAATGTTTCTAAACATTCTCAAACCTATATTATTTGCTGATGATACTACCTTCATCTATTCTGACCTCCACACACTAAATAATATTGTCAACAATGAATTAAAAAAAAAAAAAAAGTCCACTCATGGATATCAACCAACAAACTTACACTAAACATAGAGAAGACCTACTACGTTTTATTTTGGTAGCAAATCATCAAATCAGATTCAACTTCAGAGAGACAATGTTAACATTACAAGTTCACCATCACCCAGCAAAAATCTGCTATCAGAATAATAACAAAGTCTGCTTTCAGACAACACTCGGCCCCCTTGTTTAACTCCCTAAACATGCTAAACATAATCTCACTCCACAAATTCTCTTGTGTCAACTACATTTACAAAACCCTGTTCTTAAATGCAAATCCTGCTCTGAAACTCTCCCTGGACAGATGTAATAGGACCCATTATCACCACACCAGAAATAAATATCTCTTTGATATCCCCAGAGTCAAACTTAATCTGTGTAAACACTCTATGCAAATAAAGGGACCCATTCTATGGAACTCGTTCCCTATCGAATTGAAAAGCTGTCCAACTTTTGCGTCATTCAAAAACAATACTAAAAAGTACCTAATTTCATCTTCTAGTTTTTTACCTTTTGCTTTAAAATTGCACTGTATCTATTGCTACCCAATCTCCCAATCTTTATGTACCCAATCTGAACTTCTTTATCATTGTAATCATTGCTGTCTTATATGTGCTGTCAATCTGCTGTTTAGTGTCTATTAATCTTGTTTAAATTACCAATCAAGCTGTCAATGTAATCAGAGCTTTAATATACCAATGTGCTTTAATATACTTACTAATTTCTCTCTCATCTCATTTTTTTTTCTTGCAATGTATTTATCATTTTATTAATTCTGATAGAATTTACCTACTTAAAATTATCTGTTAGATTAACCCTTAACATGCTTGGGGTATAATATCCTTTCTTCTCCACAGGCGCATGTAATTTTGAAAAAAAAAAATTATTTTTTCTTCCTAACCTGTTAATTTGTGTTAACTGATCACGGGAAAAATAATAAAAAAATCGTAAGTGGCATATATTGCCCGCTATAGGGCGGGGAAGTCTGGCAAAAAATAGGCGCTGACTCAGCATGCGTCCCAGGCAGTCTGTTGATCGCCAGCTGTCAGGCCGGAGTTGCCACAAAGAGATAATTACCTAATTATTTCAATGTCTCTGATTGATTTTTCATAGTTTTTTTGCTGTAATATTATTCAATAGTGTGTAGTTTGATATATTTATATAATAAAATGCGTGAATCATCGCTGTACTCAAAAATATGGTGTGCTTATTGTTTATTCAATTATGTTCATCAAACAGTGAACAAATACTTTGTCTGTTATTACACTATATACACAGGTTATATATAAGTATCTGCATGTTTTGTTCATCATAACGAACCAATAAGTAGATTTATGTGTCAAAAAGTAACGAGGAGTGACCGCCGTGTACCAGCCAGCCACTCACGCCCTCCCTCAAGTCACCTGACTCACCCACATTCTCCTCCCACAATACTGTTTTTGCTTTTATTCACTATATACAGACGCTATATATAAGTATCTACATTCGTGTTCACCATAACGAGCCACTCTCGTTATACTATGCACTAATCTATCCCTATCTTCGCCTCTAGACACCTCTATGTGCTCTTATGTTGTTTTCTGGAATTCTTATTGTATGGTTCCCTGAAGATTTCATTTTGTACAAACACACTTTGGAACTTTTCATTTAATGTTTCACACATTTCCTTTTCATTTTCCGTGAGTCTATTTCCTATTTTCAACCTCTTAATATTATCCTTTACCTGCAATTTGTTGTTTATGAATTTATAGAATAGACCTGGTTCTGTTTTACATTTGTCTGCAATCCCTTTTTCAAAATTTCTTTCTGCCTCTCTCCTCACTGTCGTGTAGTTGTTTCTCGCATCTTTGTATCGCTGGTATGTTTGGGGGTTTGGCCTCTTCCTGTATTGATTCCATTTTTGTGTCTTTTGGTCTCTGGCCCTCTCGCAATTTCTATTGAACCAATCCTGTTTCCTAGTTCTGCATCTCTGTTTTGGTATAAATTTTTTTGTGCCTTTATCATATATTTCACAAAACTTGACATACATCTCATTCACTTCCTTCCCTAGCAACAAGTCTGTCCAATTATACTCACTAAAAATTTTTCTAAGGTTGGAATAATGTCCTCTCCTGAAGTCATGTTTTTCAACTGCTTCAACCTCCTTATATTCTTCCAGATTATAACGCATTGCATACTTTATTCCCAAAAAGACATGGTCACTTTTACCCAAGGGAGGAAGGTACTGAATGTCAAATATCTCTCCCTCCTTCCTGGTAAATATCAAATGAAGCAGAGGGAACGTCCCCTTCCCTCATCCTCGTAGCTTGTTTAACATGTTGATACAAGAATGTTTCCAGGATGAGGTCTAGAAATCTACAGGTCCAAAAATCTTCTGTTTTAGCTTCATATGCTTCCCAGTCTTTGGATTTAAAGTTGAAGTTACTGACTATCAACAGTCATGATCTATTGTTATCCGCTCTCGCTATAATCTCTCTCATTATTGTTATAAGACCTTCTCGTTTACTATCTAGCTCCTCCTTTGACCATGTGCTGCTTGGTGGTGGACTGTATGCATTTATGATCATTAGTTTATCATCCTCATGTCAGATCTCTAGTGCTATTATGTCATCATCTTGTGGATTGGCAGTCCTTATTTCGTTCACCTTTAGGTGTTCTTTCACCAGCACAGCAACGCCACCACCTTTCCTAATTTTTCTGTCCCGTCTCCAAATTGAGTAGCCCCTTGGGAATATGACCTCATTTAAAATAACATCTTAAAGTTTTGTCTCTGTAAGTGCAACAATGTCTGGTGTCAGCAGCTGTATTACATCACTTAACTCCAGTATCTTTGATCTCACTCCATCTATGTTGGTGTATGCAATCTTCAGGAACTTGTTCCCCCCTCTCCTTATTCTTCACTCCTCTCTCTCTCTAACAATTTTGTTGATTTGCCTTTATGTACCACTTTACTGGTCTGCCTACCCCTATCACGTTGTAGAAAAAAGAATTGATTTCTTCTTCATTCCTGCTCTCGTTTAAATGTTTTGCCTTGGCGTGGTTCAGTTTCAGCTTCTCTGTCTTCTTTTGAAAGATCTCGTCTTAACGACCACACTTTCCCATCCTCGTCACTTTGTAATTTTCAAGCATTCCTTAGTACTCTCTATCTGTTTGCACCGTTTAGGGTAATCCTCAAAGGTCGATCTTTCCCTTTTATGTATCTGCCTATTCTCCTGTAGTCGCACACATTCTCTATGGTAGTAAGACCTTTCACGAGGCCAACAATTTTATCTACTACTTTCGCTTCTTCTACAGCTCTTTCTGACCTAGATGTTATCTCCTTTTCTTTGCAACCAAAAATTATCAGGGACTTGCTCTGATCAACTGTGTTTTGCACCAACTTCAGGTTAGATGCCAATTCCTTTCTTACTTCCAGCCTAATGTTTGTTTTATCTTGGTTGCTGCAGTGTCTGGCTTCCTTTACTGCTTCTTCAATTTTTTTCCTTCTCCTTGCAACCCGTTCTCGCAAATTCGTAAAGTCAATATTGACTTATTAACTACGTGCATAGGTGATATACTAAACATAATAGATACCCTTAAAAAGATTCATAGAAAACACCGACCTTACCTAACCTTGTTAGTATCTTAAAATAAGCATCTTATTGCTTCGTATTTACAATTATTACTTAACCTATACCTATTATAGGTTAGGTAATAATTGTAATTACGAAGCAATAAGATGCTTATCTTAAGATACTAACAAGGTTAGGTAAGGTCGGTGTTTTCTATGAATCTTTTTAAGGGTATCTATTATGTTAAGTATGTCACCTATGCACATATTTAATAAGTCAATATTGACTTGTTAAATTTGCGAGAACGGGTTGCTCCTTGGCCACTTGTGCATAGGTGAGTTGCATATTCTTCTTGCACTGTTCTATTCCCTGTGTAACTTCCTCCATCTGTGCTGACAAAAGCTGCTTCTCCTATTGAATTTCCTTACCTAACCTATTGTAGTCATTTATGTTTAAATTTACTTTAACTTCTTCCAAAGCTATTTTTAAGAGTTTATTTTCTTCTTCCATGGCTTTGCAATTTGTTTCCAATTGATTCTTATCCTTGCACAAGTCTTTCACTAAACCCTCAAGACATAAAACTTTGCAATTCAAATGGTCATTACTTTCTTTCAATTTACTAATTATTTCTATAGGAGAGTTCACTATAGTATCTAATTTTACCAACTTGTTGTATAGACTGGTTAAATCAATGCTTTCTTCATTGAATCCCGCAAAATCAAGCTCTATTTTGTTTTTCCTCTTTCCGGCGGCCATCTTGAATGTTCTTCTCCACTGGAAACACTGGGGCACCTTTTTCTCATCCAATTTTTCACTTTCCTTGGCACATTCCTGTTATCTCGCCCATAGAACCAGCCAGAAATGTATCCAATATGTCAACTCGTGCGATAAATGTGTCAGGCGTTGTAACAATCTGGACCGTTTAATAAGTGCCTTACGGCCAAAGGGTAAAATTGCATCTCGTGATCTGGTGGCCCCCAGGCAGAGCAGGTGTCCAGATGACTTATTTGTCATGAGAGGTTCAACCAGGAGTCTCAAGTATCAAATTGTTGGGTTAAGGGCAGCTACAGCATTGGGATGCAATGTTGTTTTATATTATGTTTCACTTTCAAAGAAAGAATTCCATCATGTTTAAAGTAAAGAATTTCAAGTACAGTTTAAGTAATAAATGTTTCTGAATATAATTTTGATGACATTAGATATTTGCATTATTGGATTGCTTAATAATGGCTATACTAGCAGTTTGTATGTTGTGTATAATATGCAGGGTATACAGATTTATACCTTTAAGATATGTACAGAAATTGATGCTGTATCTTGATTAGTAATTTTTACCTAACAGAGACAGCAAGATCCACAGTGGTGTTTAGAAAATTGTCAGATGCCTAGACAATTGGAGCTTATCAGTTAAAGAAGAACAGTGTTGTGTTAGTGGCAGCGAGACACGCCAGCAAACATGAAGATCAACAAGACTTTATTACCTCTGAAGGCCCATTACTTCTGTTTCTTAGGATGTGAGTATTAATATCTTCCTTTATTCTGTCCTGATCTGCTGCCTTCAATAATGTATACTGGTATCTCATTAAAGGAGACCATCTAAACTATATACAGGGTACAGTATTTCATTTCATACATGGTACAGCAATGCTTTTAATTTTTAATCTAGCTCACAAAAGTGGGGAAAATGGGATACTGTATTGATGATTAATGAATAAAATTTTCAAATTAACTTTGAAATACACGAGTATAATATTAATGAATATTTTTTTTTAAATGATTATACTCTACACTGGTAAAAAGTCATACGCCCTCTCATGTCTGGTATATCAGACTTTCCTGTTTCTGGTTGTGTCCAGATTTATTAAATGGGGTATTTAATTTGCTTTTGTTTTACGTGCATGGGTGGGTTTCCCTACTTTGAATTCCTTTCATCCCTACCTTCTGCAGTATCTGCTTTGGATGCTTTGCCAAAGCTTTTTACTCTACTCCTTTATGATGTGGTGACAGATTTATATGGTACATCTAACTCAACAGTGTCCAGTCACCTCTATGATTACATTTCATCACTAGTTGCTGATCATTTTCCTATTTTCCATGATATTGTTTCCCAAAGGGCCAGTTGATGAAGCACTGGCTGCCTCTTCAGTGTTAGCTTAGGTTTGGCAGGCATCGGGGTTCCTCCAGTTGTTAATTTTGTGGTAAGCTCCAGTGATGTGGTGTGATACTGTCTGAAAGCCCCTTCAGTTTGTTTAGGCCCTGGATGCTAGGTTGTTCCACTATGTGTCGTAGGGCCTTCATTGGGCTTGGTCTTTTCTTCCACACTTGGCACGATAGGTATTTCTGGGTTTTTGTCGTGGGGGTTTCCCGGTTTGCCCATTATTTTCTTTAGCCACAATGCGTCAATTTCCAGGATTCCCTTTGCATTTCTTTTTCATACACTTCCAGCCATGCTGTGCCGAGATCTCAGTCTCCTTAACCGAGCAGTGCATATACATTAATATAACTTTCCCTCTTTTCATCTTAACTCTGTGGTGTAGGACAGTATTTCTCAAGCTTTGTAACCTTGAAATAATTCTGGATTGTACTTTAGATGAAAATACAGATTTCATTGCCAACTGAAAGGATATGATTTCTGCCTTTGCTCTTGATACTGGTTAAATGAGACAAATTAAATACAAAAGTGACCGAAAAAATACATTTGCATATACTGTAACTAGAATTAGCCTATTCATCACTCTTGCAGAACTAGTTCTGCACACAGTGTGTGTGAGTGAACGATCCAAGTGAGTGAGCAAATGAGTGAACGAGCGAGTGAGTGAACGATTCGTGTGAGTGAGTAAATGATCTGAGGGAGCAAGTAAACGATCTGAATGATCTAAGGGAGTTACCTTGCATTACCTTGGGTTGATTCTGAGAGTCAAGGTTCCTACAGACTGATTTCGGACTAGGCCTCCTCTGACTACTCCACTGTACCAAGGAGTGAGTGAACTGATTTGAGAAAACCGACATTCTGTAAACATGCCTGAGTAAACTATATTCCCCAAACTCCTTCACCTCTCCTTGGCATATATTTTTTGTTTTAATAACATTGCATGCTATTTTGTTTATAAACTTTGTATATTAAGTGATTCAGTTACGTATGTGATTTTAAATTCAGCTAAATTCATTTGCTTCTTTATCCTTCTTGGCAGGCATGTCACCTATCATACCATTTCTGATTGTGGTGGGGACCCAGCTGGGCATCCCCGTATCAGTGACGGGATCACTGTCGGCCATCGCACTGATGCTCGTGGTGCTAACGAAGCCCATCATTGCCACCATTGCCGATGCCTTCCCTGCACGAAGGAGAGCCATCTTCCTCCTGACTCTCGTGTGCATGGTGGCCTCTTTCAGTTCCCTTAGTTTTATCCCACCCATGAAAGAAGTGTTAAGGGCGAGTGGAAATCTTGTGTGGGCCGATGATACTCTCACTGCCCAGCAGTGGCATGCCATGAAGCCTCCTTCAGTGTCTGCAGCAGCAGATTGGGAGGGCGCTAGAAGCCAACCTTTGCTTCAGACTCAAGATAACGGTAAGCAAGTGCATCTTCAACAAAATAAACATACAAATGACCACTTTGCATTAAGTTCCCCATGTGTTTATATTATAGGAACTTCTTGTAGTCTGACTTGAGGCCAGACCTCCTAGTGACTTAGTGCCATTCCTTACTTCCATGCCTCAACATATCTACATCTACTCCATGTATATCAGGAAGCTTTTTCATCTTTAACCTAATCCTAGCCTCTCTAATTTTCACCCTGTCTAGCCTCCTATATCATCTACATGACCACTGGTCATCTTCCACTATTTCCACTCATTCTAAAACAGGTTTTTATGGACGTTTCTTCACTTGTAACTGACTCTTAAAATATTTATTCCACCTATTTGTAACATCATGCATTTCTCTCAGCACAGTCTGCTCCATATCCTTCACACACTCTACTTCCCTCTTTCCCATCATGACTAGCTTTAAGCTTTCTGTAAAATAGTTTCTTATTTTAACATAGTCCTCAAATAAGTCTCCCAACCTTTACTTCCATTACTTTTTTCCATCATGAACTCGTTTCCATTTTTTCTGCGAGGATCCCCTGCGGCTCACTGGAGCTATCGGGCTAATATGCGATATATTAAACTAGGGCAATAGTCAATATAAATGGACATATAACTACACAAGACAGACCCTCACCAGGCAAAAAAAAAAAAAAAAAAAAAATGCAAAAGTACAACATCCCCAGAGAAAACAGACAGAAACAGAAACATGTCCTTTTGGCTTGAATCTGGCACCTCGTGTCTTCATGTGTCTTACTCAGGTCGTGGTGAAGCGCCTGCGTCTGCTAGGGGTCCGGGTTCTGGCTTACCTCGACGACTGGCTGGTGTGGGCTTCCAGCTGGTCTGCTTGTCTACTAACCAGGGGTGCAAATCTTTCCCAGCTCGTTGAGTTTGGGTTCCTGGTGAACTGGAGGAACTGTCTTGTCCCATCTGGCTCCATCCCAAGTTCGGACCTGGCTGGGTCTTGTTTGGGACTCTCGGACCACTTCCATGTCTCTCCCTCTGGAGGCGATGTTGTGGTTGCAGTCCCGCCTTCAGCTATTTCTGGGAGGTCCTGGGTCACTCGACGATTGCTCAAGCAGTTGTGTAGGAGTCTGGACTTCACCATGCTGGTTTACCTGCTGGGGCAGGTTTGGCTTCGGCGTCTGTTCTTGTTCGTTTAGGGATGCCCCATCTGCCTTTCTCACGATGGCTGGGATTAGTGGGGTTTGTCCTTCCGTTGGGCTCACAGCACAGTGCGGGAGTTGACGGTGGTTTGGCTGTCTCTTTGGAGGGTTTGGGTTGCTTAGAGCGCCACGATCTGGCCCAATTCAGACTGTTCTCCGGTAGTTCATTGCTTGAAACGCGGTGGTTCCCTTCGGTCCTTGTCTCTTTGGGGCTGGTTTCTCGGGGTTTGGCTCTCCATGCGGTTCATATCCGGGGGGTGTCCAACGTCCTGGTGGATGTCCTGTCTCGGTTCATTCCCATCCACAGAATGGAATGTCAATGCTGACTCCTTCAGTTGCTTCAGTTGGACGTACAGATGGCGGTGTGTGATATTTGACTGTTTCCTTGGGAATTGGGGGAGTTCTGCCGCCCTGTTTGGCTTTCGGTTGTAATTTTCTTACCATGTGGTGTGTGTTTTGTTATTCCTACCTTTCTGGGTGCTTAACCCCGGTCGATGGCAAATTAGCAAAGCCCCCTACCGCGGGGGTTTTCCAGGAGCCATTGATCCCTGTGCCTCTGAGAGAGAGCCAGGTTTTGGCTCGTGGACCCCAGTAGGCTGAACTCCATTGACTATTGCCCTAGTCGCATATTAGCCCGATAGCTCCAGGGAGCCACCAGGGCTCACCCAGAAAATGGCATTTCATTACATTCAACTCTGGTTTTCTGGGAGGGGATTGAAGTAGATCTTCAATGCTACAGCCTAGCAATGACCATACCTTGGGGAACACTGGACCTCTGAAGACACAAGCACTTCCTGGGACAAGGACCACTCTGATATAGCACTGCACTGTATAAAAATTGGACCCAACAAACATTCCACTCGCAGCCCTCACATGTTTTACAATATTTTTACATCCTTCAACACACACATAATCCATCTAACTCTTTTGCTTTAGTTTGTCTCCTTCCTTTTGCCTCAATGGATAAATATGTATGAACTTATTCCAAGAGAAAATATTTGATAAACAAACCTCTCTTTCTAAATTCACTTGCCGAGTAATCCTCATGACCATTTACACCTGACACACCCAACTTTCCAACAACTTCTCCATCCAGTTACCTGACCATTCCCAGGTCCAGTCATTAATTCTTTGGATGATATCATTGGTGCTTTAATTCAAACAAATGTGCTAGAGACGGTAGCTTTCATCATGCTGATGTGTCTTGTCTAGGAGTCGGCGAGCTTGGCTAGATTTTGGGCTAAGAAACTATGTCTTCAGGTCAGGGTATGTTTTATTAAAAAATTTGCCTAAAGTATTGAAGACAATTTGAACACAAATACACCATACCCTCCTATGCACCAAACTAATCCTTATCCATTTCTTTATTTGAAGGAGGGTGCTACATTGCAGAGGCATGGGACTGCACAGCATCCTGCAGTCAGCCCTGGGCATACCTCTTGCCCAACAGTTCCACACCAGACCTTAGACTCAATGCCCTGGCCAAGGACCACACCCTAAAGGTTTACAACACCACTGAGGCTGTCTCCTCCCACACTTCCATTAGTAGGTCTCGTGAAGGAGAACTGTTTTGGAGGCACGAAGCAGCAGACGAGGCTACCGCTGGGGTTAGAAGCCGACTTTATCAGCTGGAAGGTCTCAATGTTTCCTGGGACTTACTGATGGCAAATGTCAGGTATTTTGTTTTGTCTTGTTCATGTATACAGAAACAGGACATGGATTTTGTTTGCCAATTCAGTTGTTTAACTAATCACTAATAGATATTTCTAGCAAGGGATAACTTAGTTTTCTTGGTTTTATTATGTGTACTTTCTGTGGGGCGCCCGTTTGGTGCCCTGGAGTTATCGGACTGATATACGCATATTAGTCTGGGGCTTCAGTCAAAGGAGTTCTGCCTACTGGGGACCACTAGCCAATACATGGCCCCCCTAAGAGAGGTGCAGGAAGCAATGGCCTAAGGAAACCTCTCCTTGTATTTAGGGGAATTCCATGTCTGCCATCGACTGGAGTTAAGCACCCAGAAAGGTAGGCATCTCAAAAACCCTATTTGGTTGGAAATTGCAAGAAACCCAAGACAGAACAGAGAAACAGAACTCTCCAAAAGAAGACGAAGGAAACGAGCAAACAGGCAAAAATAATTCACTGCTGCTGTGCTGCTTGTCTGTGAAGCTCTTCCCCACTGGAAGGGGAAGGGGGGAGCCCCAGACCCTCGCGCTGGCTGCCCACACCTCGATTCGTTGTCTGAAGCACTCTGGAGTGGATGTCAACTCTGGCCTCAGTTTCCTGCTGGATTTTGTGTACCTGTGGTGTTTTCCTGCTGTTTGTGGCACAGTGGCCAGCAGTAACATAGTGTACTGGGGCTGCATGTGCTAAGGGCTGCATTCCCTAAGCATCCTGTAAGTATTACCATTAGGTTCTAGGGTTACCTTCCCTAGGATCATTGGGCCTTCACTTCCGTAGGGGTTCCTGCTGCTCGGCATTTACCCTGCTCCTGGGGCCAGCTGGGGTTTCATGGCCTTTGTTTGGCTCTGGATAGGAATTGTTGTTGTTGCTGGTTGGGGTGCATCGGTGCTGCGCAACACGCATACCTAGCAGCAGCCGTGTTTCCTGTTCCTCCTGTTGTCATCGTACTTTTTTTCTCTCTCATTGGCAAGGTCTGCCTGGATTAACTATTCAGTCTACTTAGGATATTGTTGGTGGATCTCCTCTAGACTTCCTGTGTTTATACACTTCACAGGGGGGTTCAGTTTTTAGCCCCCTTTCCCTCTTTGTTGTTGTTCCCTTGGGCTCAACCAGTTTTGCAGCACTAGTGCCTGGGCTTCCCACAGATAAAACCCCCTGCAGGCCCCTGAAAACCCTGTTGAGGCTTGGTTGACCTGTGGCTGTGTCCTCCAAGTTCCATCTCGCCCTTATCTTAGGGTGACAATCACTGGGTTTGCCACCGTCGTGCTGTTTGTGAGGTTGCTAATACCTTCGCCCGGGGTCGTGCGAGTCTTGTTCCCCGCTTGTTCTTCATTTACCATTTCTTCGGGAGATCTTTAGGGTCAAATGGCTGTTGCATTGCTTGGTTGGTTTAGGTTATTGCAACAAGCTAGGTTGGTTGCCTGCTCGAATGCCCCGGGGCTGCCCCATTTTGGTTAAGTCGGACTTGGGGGGGGGGGGCATTAGTTGTTTTGGCCTTGGCTCAGTCCACGCCCCTGGGTCCTTTCCCTGCTGTTGTGGTTCCTCTGCTTCCCCTACTGACAGCTCCTAATGTCTGAGGGTTTCGGAGTCGGGTCGGGATTTAGTTGGGGATGAAACTTGGGCAGGATTTAGTTGGAAATGAAACTTGGACGGCTCTGGGGGCTGCCCCATTCATCGCGGGGACGGAGGTCTTTGAGCATGCCCAATCCAGCAACGAGGAGGCTTGGTCGACGACCGGGCTGCGGGGTCGCTGAGCCCCGAAAATGCCTCAAGGTCAAGGTATGCTTCTCCCGCTGAGGCTTCTGGGCCTTACCAGCAGGCCCCCTTCTTGTTGCCTTTCCCTTGGACTCTACCTTTTCTTCTAGGGTGTTGTGACTCTGCCTTAGGGCCTCTGTTGGGGGTTCCCGGGGCTATGGGGGAAGCGGCTAGCAGTTCTGGGGCCATTTGTCCCCTGGTTGGGCCTTGTGCCTTCTGGGTGGATTTTATTTTCGTCTCTTCTTCCCATCTGCTTTGGTTTTCCCCATTTACTGGCGTGATTTTGGATCCCTTATGACAGAGGCATCTTTTGTTTTGGTGGCCATTTTGCTTGTCTATGGATGCTTATCTCCCTGGCCACCAGAGCGGCACTTCGGCTTGTATGTTTACATGTGACTGCTGGGTGTGTGAACCTGCATTTTTCTTTTTTTTTTTCCTCTGGTGTTTTTTCTCCTCCCGTTGCAGTCTGTTTTGTTCTTTCTTTGGGGCGTCCTACCCTGTCTGTTCCACTGGGAACATTTGGGCGTTGGTCTTTTCATCCGGTCTTGTGGTTTCTGTCTTTGTTTGGGTTCTGGGCCCGGTATCCGTGCCCTTTATGCTTTGCTAGCTCCCATGCCTTCGGCCCTCTGTTTTTGATCCATTTTCTGGCCGTTTAAGTCGGGGGTCCCTTACATTCGTGTGCTCTTTCTGGACACCTGTTGAATTTTTTCCATTCCGTTGTGTGCCACCCCCTCGGTTGGTTTCTGGGTTCCTTGAGGTTCTTCAGTTTCATTCCGGAGGTTTTCTCTCTCTCAGGTTTTCCCTGTGGAGATTTGGGAGGCCCTTGGTGGTTTTCCTCCTGTGTGACCCAGCATTTGCCCCTCGTCCCCATATTGGGTGCATTCTGGGGTTCCTGGGTCTTCCTGACTTGCAGATGGCTTCCCTTTCTTGGGCCTTGGCACGGGTTTTGGGGTTGTGCCATCTTATCGAGGTGGGCCTTTGGTGCCAACTTTTGTGCCCGTGCCTCTTCCGGGGCTGTCTTCGTCTGGTCGGTGCAGTGCTCACCCTGCTCGATGGTTGGCTTCTCAGAGGGGGCACCAGCCCATTCGAGTCACCCCCGTTGACGGGGCGATGGGGGAGAGGCTGGCTCTGTTTGCCCAAGCTTGGTCCCACGATTCGTGAATGTTTCGAGTCGTGTTTTCCGGCCTGTGGTGGCGTTGGGCGGTTCCGCTCAGAAGCTCGGGGCTGACGGGGTGGGCTTCTTCCCATGCATCCTGTTGGGTCATCTTGGAGTGGGTGTGCCTGGGCGTGGTCGAAACGACCTCGTCCCTCAAGTGGGTTTCCTGCTTGTTCCAGTGCCAAAACGAAACTGTACATCTATGTCTGCTAGGTGTTCGGGTGTTGGCCTACCTCGACGACTGATTGGTGTGGGCTCCCAGCCAGTCTGCTTGCCAAAGGGGTGGTTCTTTCCCAGCTCTCTGTGTTCAAGTTCCTGGTGAACTGGGGAAAGTAGTTTCGGCTCTTATTTTGTTCCCTATCTAGCATGTCCCTGGCCTGCTTTTCTGCCACCTTGGCCTGTTAACTTTTCTTGGTCTTCCTGTGTCCCCCTTCAGTCCAATTGTGCTTCTGATTGCAACCCGTTCTCGCACTTTATTACAGTCAATGTTGACTTGTTAAATAAGTGCATATGTGACATACTAATTTATTGTGAATATTTTAGTTTACCTAGAAAAGCTTCATAGAAAACACCGACCTTACCTAACCTTCTTAGTATGTTAAGATAAACATCTTATTGCTTCGTAATTACAATTATTACTTAACCTATACCTATAATAGGTTAAGTAATAATTGTAATTACGAAGCAATAAGATGCTTATCTTAACATACTAAGAAGGTTAGGTAAGGTCGATGTTTTTTATGAAGCTTTTCAAGGTAAACTAAAATATTCACAAAAAATTAGTATGTCACATATGCACGTATTTAATAAGTCAATATTGACTATACGAAAGTGCGAGAACGGGTTGCCGATTGTCAGGTGGTCAAGCGTCTTGTTCTCCTCCATCACCAGTCGTTCTTATTTTGGCCCTTGGTGGGCATTTTGTTGTTGCTGGCTTCTTTTCTGGTGGGGTTTGAGTTGGTTGGCTTTCAAAGAGTTTCCCTGTTCTTTGCTTCATGTACTTTGCTTTGCTGGGGGGGGGGTGCATTTTGTGTAGTGTTTGGTATCAACATTGCTGCATCCTTTGTGCTGCCAGTTCTGTGTCAGTGGGTTCCTTTGTGTCATGGTTCAGTTGTCTGCAGTGTTATTCTTGCCAGCCTATGGTCTTCCCTTGTCCCTTGGTTGTTTATCTTTGCTGGCTTTGTGGAGTGGTTCTCGGCTCCTTGTTGGGCGCAGAGGGTTGGCCCTTTTGCAAGGTGCTTGGGCTCCGCCTTTATTGCTATACCTGGGTCGAAGTGCTCTGGTAAGACCTTTGCCTTTCTTGCTCATCTGCTGGGTCAGTTGTTGGTTAGCCGGCAGTCTCGTTTTCATTCCTGTTTGTGGTTCGGCTGCTCTTTTGCTGTCCCGGTTTGTGTGCTGGGCCATTCAGGCGCAGGTGCTTTGCAGTCACCCTGCAGTCTGCCGACATTGTTCTTGCTTGGTCCTCGGCGTTCTTGTGTAGTTTGTGCAGTGTTTCTTGGTTTTTCTCCTTTTCTCCAATTTTCCTTCCTTCCTTCCTTCCCGGTTGGTGCCCATTTTGGTTTCTTTCTCCGTGGGTATAGCTTCAGAGAGCCACAAGGGGCTTCCATCAGAAAACCAGCGTTGAATGTAATGAAGCGCCAATTTCTGGGTGAACTCCAATGACTCCCTGATACCCTGCCTTCTCCCCCAGTGCATTGGTGTTTCCATCATAGAACTGAGGGTGAAGCAGTTCTATGATGACCCCTGGCTGCCTCCCTTCCCTCCTCTAACAAAGGGGAAGGTGGGGCAAACGAGCTAGCGCTAGTTTCATGACTTTTTTATTATTTGTTTACATTGTTGGGGGGAAGTTCTTTTGGCAGTTTTGAGGCTGCAGTCTCATTTCTAATTAGCAGTGGTTTGTTTTGTCTTGCTGATTTTTGAGGTGCGTGGCAGACATGGTTCAGATTCATAGAAGTTTTATCATATGTACCACTGCTCTCTGCGCCTCTTTAGAGGAAGTCAGGTTTTGGCTCGTGGTCTTCATTGGGCCTCTGCAATTGATGGCACCTAGTAGTTTGGTACTAGTATATTAGCATAATAGCTTCAAGGAGCTACTGAGGTTCACCCAGAAATTGGCGTTTCATTACATTCATGCTGTTTTCTGGGGGAAGCCCCTTCGGCTCCCTGGAGCTATCCGGGCCGATATGATTATACGTACACTGATTTAGTGTCATACTGCAAGGGGCCATCTGTTGCGGAGTCCTGTTGGCCTACCAGGAACCACAAGCCAGAACCTGGCTCCCCTCAGAGAGGTGCAGGGAGTGGTGGTACAATGAACACATTATATTTAAAGTAATTCATGTCTGCCACCACCAGGGAAAGCACCCAGAAAAGTCTGCGAAACAAAACAAACCACTGCATGGTAAAAAATGAGACCGCAGCCTCAAAACTGCCAAAAGAACTCTCAAATTACAAAAATTTTGTGAAACTAGCGAGTATTAGTTCTCTTCACTTGTCCTCTTCTGTAACTTGAAAAGCCAGTTAACTCCAAATGTTGAGTAGAACAGTTCTGAGCTACACGCTGCATTTGTTTCTAATCAGTCATCTCTGATTTGTTTATTCACTTGGGTGGGTGGGGAATTGACCTTTCGTCTCGATAGTTTTATCTTCACCCAGTTAAGTTCTACATGTTTACTGTCAAGCTCAAAGTGCACGCCTTGGTTTTATTGTTAGCTTCATCAACAGTGGGAGATAATTGTACATGACTGCAGCATGTTTCTTGTGAGTGTTCACTCGGTTTACATATTTAAATAGAAAGTAATCTTGAGGTAATCTTGAGGTTAACTGCAGCAATTTTTTTTTTTTTTTTTAGTTTCCTCACTTTAGAGATGTCTGTTACATATTTTGACAATTTTTCTTTGATGGTAAGTTTTCAGTCATTACTCCATATTCTGTCTTATTTTATCAACAGCGTGGAGTGTGGTGGTGGCCAGTGGGAGGGAGGATGGTGTGCTAATGTGTGGACCTACTGGGAGTTCTGGATCTTCACCGCTCTCCTGTTTATTGGTCAGATCTCCTTTAATACTGCCATCTCCATTACGGATGCCATTACCGTCGATACCATTGGTGTGTGTCCGTTAATGTGTATACAGTACAGTATATGTATTTTGTATTATATAATTCCACTAATCTTAAATTTTATAATTCGTGCCTGTCAGAGTGTACTTTAACCCTTAAAGTGCGCATCACGTCATATGACGTGTTGGAGTACTACGCAAGATTTAAACGGCCCGTGGATGCACGGGGTTCACCACACCTTCATCAGGGCTCTTGTAAACAGACGCCATTTTTTTTAAAAATCGTGGGGGCAAACTCCTGGGTGTTATTGGCCTCAGTATTGAGTGAGCAACCAAGCCTGGCGCACGCAGCATGAGCTAACAGCACTGCTGTTCAGCTTGTGACCACAGCATCGCCTAAAAATGCCAAAATATACTTGTTCATGCTATTATGTAGTGATGATATTATTACAGAAGACCCCTGACTGATAAAACTGACCAGGGTTCTGATAATAGCAGGATTGTGGTGATATTTAGTGCTGTGCGCCATGGAGGGAGGAGTAATGCTGTGGGAGGGAGGGTGGTGGTGATGTCTTCTGACTGTGTGTGGCCACCTTTTATTGACTGCACTCACCATACCAGCTTAGTGGTTCGCTATGGTGAACACAAATGTAGATACTTATATATATAACGTGTGTATAGAGGGTATAAACAGCAAGAGAAGGTTGGGAGCCGCCATTTTGGTAAGGGCGGTGGCGTCGTCTGCATGATGCCACCGTGCAGACGACGGTGTTGTTTACTGGTTACCACGATGGTCTTTGGGCACCATACCAGTTTATTTGTACAAGTATGGTGAATAAAACAGGTAGATATTTATATATAATGTGTGTATATAGCGTAATAACACCACACAGTATTGTTGGAGGAGAAATATTAGTGCGTCTGGCCTTGATGGCGGCAGCCATCAGCTGACTGTGTGAAGTCCTACGTCTTTGTGCCTTTACTCACCATACAAGCTTAGATGCACAGTTATGATGAACAAAACATATAGATACTTATATATAACGTCTGTATATAGTGAATTATAGCAAAAACAGTATTGTGGGAGGAGAATGTGGGCGAGTCAGATGACTTCAGGGAGGGCGGGAGTGGCTGGCTGGTACACGGCGGTCACTTCTCGTTACTTTTTGACTCACAGTAGCTACTTAGTGGTTCGTTATAGTGAACAAAACATGCAGATAATTATATATATCCTGTGCTTATAGTGTAATAACCGACAAAGTATTTGTTCACCGATTGATGAACATAATTGAATCAACAATATGCACACCATATTTTTGAGTACAGCAATGATTCACTCATTTTATTATATAAATATATCAAACTACACACTATTGAATAATATTACAGCAAAAAAACTATGAAAAATCAATCAGAGACATTGAAATAATTAGGTAATTATCTCTGTGGCAACTCCGGCCTGACAGCTGGCGAGCAACAGACTGCCTGGGACGCACGCTGAGTCAGCGCCTATTTTTTGCCAGACTTCCCCGCCCTACAGCAGGCAATATATGCCACTTACGATTTTTTTATTATTTTTTCCGTTATCAGTGACCACAAATTAACAGGTTAGGAAGAAAAAATTTTTTTTTTTTTTTTTCAAAATTACGTGCACCTGTGGGGAAGAAAGGATATTATACCCTAGCATGTTAAGGGTTAAACTGCGCAACACACCATATGATGTGTTGAGTAACTTGCTATAAATTGCGCAGCACATCATATGACTTAATGGAGTACAGGTACTACGCAAGATTTAAACGGCCCGCGGATACACGGGGTTCACCTCACCTTCATCTCGGCTCTTGTAAACAGACTCCATTTAAAAAAAAAATCGTGGGACAAATTCCCGGGTGTGAGGGCCTCAATATTGAGTGAGTCACCAAGCCTGACGCACACAACATGAGCTCACAGCACTGCTGTTCAGCTTGTGACCACAGCATCGCCTAAAAATGCCATAATATATATGTTCATGCTATTATTTAGCGATGATAGTATTACAGAACACCCCTGACTGTGATACAAATGACCAGGATTCTGATAATAGTAGGATTGTTGTGATAATTAGCACTGTAGTGGGAGGAGTAATCTTGGTGGGGAGGGAGGTAGCATTGTCTGCTGACTCTGTGTGACCACCTTTTACTGTCTGGACTCACTATACCAGCTTAGTTGTTCGCTATGGTGAACAAAACGTGCAGATACTTATATATAACATCTGTATATAATGAATAAAAGCAAAAACAGTATTGTGGGAGGAAAATGGTAGCGAGTCAGGTGAGGTGAGGGAGGGAGGGAGGAAGTGGCAGCCAGTGGCAGGCTGCCACTGGCTGCCACTGCCACTGGCTGCCACTGCCACTGGCTGCCACTGCCACTGGCTGCCACTGCCACTGGCTGCCACTGCCACTCAACATACCACCTTAGTGGTTCGTTATGGTGAATACAAATCTAGATACTTATATATAACGTGTATATGCAGTGTAATAACAGCAAAAGGAGGGGGGGGGGGGGAAGAAGCCATTTTCGTAATGGGGGTGGCAACATCTGCATGATTTGTCATGTTGGTATGGGTGGCCACTATGCTCTTTGGGCACTATACAGGCTTAGTTGAACAGTTATGGTGAGCAAAACGTGTAGATACTTATATATAATGTGTATATATAGGGTAATAACACTACAAACAGTATTGTTGGGGTGAAATTTTAATGCGTCTGACCTTGAATGTGTGAGGGAGGCAGTTGCCAGCTGACTGTGCGAAGCGACGTCTCTCAGTGCCTGAACTAACTATATCAGCTTAGTTGTACAGTTGTGGTGAACAAAACATGTAGATACTTATATGTAACGTCTGTATATAATGAATAAAAGCAAAAACAGTATGGTGGGAGGAGAATGTGGGCGAGTGAGGTGTTGAGGGAGTGAGTGGCAGCGAGTGGCTGGCTGGTGTGTGGCAGTCACTCCTCGTTGCTTTTTAACTCATAATACCAACTTAGTGGTTCGTTATGGTGAACAAAACATGCAGATACTTATATATAACCTGTGTATATAGTGTAATAACTGACAAAGTATTTGTTCACTGTTTGATGAACATAATTGAATCAACAATATGCACACCATAGTTTTGAGTACAGCGATGATTCACACATTTTATTATATAAATATATCACACTACACACTATTGAATATTACAGCAAAAAAACTACGAAAAATCAATCGGAGACATTGAAATAATAAGGTAATTGCCTCTTTGTGGCCACTCCTGCCTGATAGCTGGGGAGGAACAGACCGCCTGGGACGCACGCTGAGTCAGCGCCTGTTTTTTTGCCAGACTTCCCCGCCCTATAGCAGGCAATATATGACACTTACGATTTATTTTATTTTTTCCCATGATCAGAGAACACAAATTAACAGGTTTAGAAGTAAAAATATTTTTTTTTTTTTTTTGGTATGCACCTGTGGGTGACAAATGCTAATTAGCCCTGAGCAACACAAGGGTTAACCGCCATGCTGTGCTGCCTTAAAATAGGACATTCCCGCTGTGTGCAGGAAATAAATACTCTGCAAAAATTTTGTTTCTTCCAAAAGGGTTAAATACCCTCCCCTGATAACATATATGTTGAAAATATTGCACAAACGTACTTTGGGAGCAGTGGTGTCCAGAAAATGACGTGTAACGTCACAGCTCGGTGGTCGCCCGTGCTGTAGACTCCCGGTAGCAGTCGCGCGCAAGATTCAACAAGCGCGAGTTGCCACATATTTTTACATTCATTTTTCTCGTACATATGCACTTCTTTTGTTTTTTTCTGGATAATCCTATGTTTATTAAATAGTTTACAATATTCAGGCAGTAGAACATCCGTCCTGTTCAAAGAAAGAAACTAACACACACAGAAACTGTTACATGTACCCTGTATTGCAAATGTGTCCACAAGCATTGTTCATATTTTCTTTAGTACATGTTCAATTATTTACATTTACAACTTATTTACACACTGTACATTATCACAGACTATATAAACAAATCCACAAGGGCTGTGACGAGGATTCGAACCTGTGTCCGAGAGCATCCCAGACTCTCTCGGACGCAGAGAGCATCAAATTTGTTCATTTGATGCATCATGCAATTGTGATTTCTGCGTGTAATGAAGTCAGACTATATACATCATATACATCACTATCAACACACTTAGAACTGCACGAATGTGTGATAATCAGTGAAGCAGTCCATGGGACACAAGGCAACTTTGCACTCAATGCACCAAGTGCAGATGGATCTTCGCTTCTGTTCCCTACGTTGCGTGACACTGACCGCCGCCAAACAGTACCTTGCTTCAACAGGCATGAGCACCACGGACAATTATTGCAGTCACTGCAAATGGAACTACATTGCAATGTGTTTATTTTAAAACCTTTCCTGATCACCTTCATGTTATTGAAACATATCTAGTCTTTTTATTTAGATGTTAATTTGTGTCCTCACAGGGAAGGATGGGAATTATGGATTTCAACGGGTTTGGGGCACTGCTGGCTGGGGACTAATGGGCCCTGTTAGTGGACTTCTTATAGACTTGTGGTCTGGCACCTCCCTCACCAAGGACTACACACCAGCTTTCCTCATCTGTGCCCTCATGGGATCCATTGATATTATCATCTCTGGCACTGCTATTAAGGTAAGACACAAGGGTTCTCTGTAATTGCTTAAAACTGTTATTTTCAACTAGAAATACATAAACAGTCACAGTATTGATTTCAATATTAATGATTTTTATTTACATTATATAAATTTTCAAGGCTTATATTTGAAATTGATAATTTGTTTAATTTATTAATGGTAATGTATAAATTTGAGCTATCCCCCTTAGCTGCTTCCTGAGCCACGTATCCATATGGCCCTCCTGGTCTACAAGACACGTCAGGCTCTTCACCAGGTTCTATCAACCTGTTCTCTCACCATAAGTCTTCACTAATGGTCCTGACGTATAAATACCTAAGTGTAATTACTTAAGTGTAGTTACAAGATGAGAGCTACGCTCGTGGTGTTCAGTCTTCCCCAGTACTCTATCACATAATGCTTTGAAACTACTGATAGTTTTGGCATTCACCACCTTTTCACATAACTTCTTCCCACCGTCTACTACTGTTTGCGAAAGTGAATTTTCTTATGTTTCTTCGGCAGCTTTGCTTAGTTTAAATCTACGACCTCTTGAACTTGAAGTTACAGGTCTTGAGTGGAGGAGGGTAGGCTGGAAAATTATCTGTCCAGCACAGAGAAATCATCGTGTTGTCACAAATAAAAATTCGTAATTCTACCTGCAAGCAAAACTTTGGATAAGGTAGGAAACCCAATCTTTCCTTTAACTGCTTACCCACTAGCTGCATGGAAAGAGGGTTGGGGAAGCTGTCAGCCCTCATGTGCTGCCTGGTGTTACCTACTTAATGAGCTGCTCTTTAGAGACAGATTCAATCATTTTTCTGGAGGGACCACACATTGAGATAGCTTCAAACACGAGTCACATCGGAATCTAAGAATCCTGATAAGCTATTGGAGATCGGAGCCAAAACCTGGCACCCTCACAGAGGCACAGGGAGTAGGGGATCTGAAAATCGCCCTCACCGAATAAACATCCAGCGAGTTTGGCATGAGATGCAGGACAAATCCACCTGAACTGAGACAGAAGACAAACGGTAAAAATAGACAAAAAGAGTAGCATGAAACTTCTTAATGCCTCTATGATGAAACACACCGATGGAAAACTAGCAGCTTAATCACCTGTGCATCATATAAATGGTGATAGACTAGCATCTAAAACTCCAGATTTGTAGATCAGAGGAGAACATTGAACCAGAGAGAAATGTTACAGGACCGGTGCCACCTCAGGAAAAAGGTGGCATGAGAGAGAGGTGGGGGAGACAGTCATAAGGCAAAATCACAAGCAGAACAAAAACCTGGGTAAGAACAGCATGCCGAAAATGAGATGAGCCACGAAAGACGACCACTGCCTCTCAAAGGAGAAGAGTGAGTGAGTACTGTAGTCAAGAAACAAGTCTCATAAGAGACATCACCCAAGGAAGCCTGAAAGTCAGGACCAAACACTCATTATTCAGGTACAACCAAAGCCTTGTTAAACCGAAAATAGGGTTGCCTGCAAGCCAGGAAGAACACGGAAATCGTAACAACCACTGGGCTGAAGCTGACCCGAACTCAAGTGGCAGGGTCCACGAGGGAAGCAATTGGAGGAAATGAATAGACTGACTGAGCCAACAGTGGCAGGTGGTGCAGTTGAAGGTTTAAAGGGTAAGTATCAAACAAATATAAATTTATAAACATTGTTGTATATGATGAGTCAGTTATCATATACAATATGATGTATATGATATATAACTCAGTCCTCTTAACTGGTAACCGAGGCCTATCAGAATGGAATTGGATAAGGTTGGGCATGAAGACTTTGTTTTTGTGTTAATACCACTACCTGGCAGTGGTTGATGGTAGTAACCTAGTAGGTGTTGATTGGTTAGCATAATGTTTTCTAGAGTGTTGCAAGATGTACGATACTTGGACATGTTTTGCATCGATGAAGAGCACTTTTCTGTCTATATTCTGGACAGTAAGATCTTGCCTTAGGAAGCAGCTCAGGTAGTGCTGTACAGTAATAATATCTACAAGTATTGCTTCAACAAGTATTAAGAATACTATTTAAAATTTTACATGTTACCCATGCAAATGTCTAAATATCACCTGTTAATTGTGCAGGTGTCATACAAGAACTTGTTAATTGTGCAGGTGCTGTACTAACACTTTCATTTCCTTGGCAGGTTCCAGAGATGAAGACAGAACATGACGTCTTAAAGAAGGTGTTGCCGATCCTGCGCCAGCCTAGATTCTTCATGTTTTGCTGCTTTGTCGTCATGAATGGTTTCTTTGATGGTGTCGTAGCCAGTTATATCTTCATGTAATAGAACACATGCATTTTATCACAGTGGAATCTTGATTATCAGAAATAATTGAGAATGAATCCTACATGTCTTATCCAGATTTTTGTTTACTATACTGTACTTGCCAAAGTATAAGAAAAAATTTTCCCACCACCCTGCAAAAATACAATTCAAAATCTTAAAGTGAGCAAAGATCACACAAATTCATGACGAATGGTCATCACATTACGATTGTCACCACAATAAAAACCAAAAAGTTTGTAATTAAATGTTGTTAACTTTATTTCTGGGTTGGCCACTCAGCTTTGCATAGCTATTGCAACGAGACTGCAAAGATTTATGGAATTTTACTAGGCTTCAAACACTCATTTGACCTTACTAGAAGCCAGGACCATTTTCATAATCTACAAAGCAATCTTGAGGATCGGAGATAAATCCAAAACGATGAACAAATCTAGTAGAAAGAATAAATGCCTCAAAACGTGCAACTGCTTGAAGGAAATTTAGTAATCGTAACTGTGACTAGAAGGCAGCCCATGTCATGCAGGGTTCTGGCATTTCCTCTTGTGCAGTAGAGCCCAGTGCTTTTGCCAAGAGTGACTTTGGGTCATATAAGTGATTGTTCTTGTGTAGAGTGCATAGGTCTGTCTTCACAGATTGCTTCAGACTACAGGTCGGTGTTTGTTTAATGCTGATAATTTCCCTGTGCCTGGTCTACATGCTCATTTACAGACAATTTAAGCAGCCAGTCTCCTTCCCCCAGGGGGTCCTTGAAAGGGATGGGTGGCTAGCAGGAACCCCAAGTGATCTGGGCTGTCATCTGGTGGCAGTCGGGCACATTATGGCTGGAATGTTTACTTTGTGTAATAACCGACATGTAGTTACAGGATGAGAGCTATGCTTGTGGTGTTCTGTCTTCCCAGCACTGTCTCACATGACACTTTGAAACTAATGATGATTTTGGCCTCCACCACTTTCTCATTAAACTTGTTCCAACCGTCTACTACTGTTTTGAAAAGAGAACTTTCTAATGTTTTTTTCACAGTGGCAATGATTGTTTGCCTAGTTTTCTCAGGGTTACTAATGTCTTTCAAGCAGTTTCATTCCAACACTTGATTTTACTATTATCTCAACATTTCTTTTCACTAAAGTATTGTATTTAAAAAGAATATTCTTCAAAAGGCATTCACATGAATTAGAAAAGCCCTTCACATGAAAAGCGATATAATATAATCTATATCTGAAATGACCATATTCAGGGTTATTACTTTTGTCTAGCTTTCAGTTAACTTGAACTTGTAGATAAATCAGTTTCAGATGACTAGGACGGCTGCTGTGTGTGTATGCATGACCTTTGTTTATACATTCTTTCTTGTATATTATTTATTCATACATAGTATGCATGATAGGGGCCTCGTAGCCTGGTGGATAGCGCGCAGGACTCGTAATTCTGTGGCGCGGGTTCGATTCCTGCACGAGGCAGAAACAAATGGGCAAAGTTTCTTTCACCCTGAATGCCCCTGTTACCTAGCAGTAAATAGGTACCTGGGTGTTAGTCAGTTGTCACGGGCTGCTTCCTGGGGGTGGAGGCCTGGTCGAGGACCAGGCCGCGGGGACACTAAAGCCCCGAAATCATCTCAAGATAACCTCAAGATGATCTTTGTACTGTATGTACATTCTTACAGTAGTACAGTCATGTTCATTCTCGACTCGAAATCAAGAATTCCGGGTTCAAACATGGGGCAGGACATAAATGATTGGGTGCATTTCCTATAGCTTAACACTATTGCTCTCTTTGGACACCGCTCACGTCCACTTTTTTCCTAGCCTTGGAATGTGGTCGCGTCCAGTACAAAAATATTTGTATAAAATTAATTTTTTATCTGATCGACTTGGGAATAGTTTCAAAATGAGCGCCTTTAGAGTGAGCACAATTTGATACCAAAATGAAAGATGTAACACGAAAATTAATGTCAGAACACTGGAATGATATAAATAATTTTGTGATGGTGAGCGTCCAAAATTTAAATATTTGTTAAAATTCCAGTTGTTGCTCTATTATTTTGGGACTAGTTTTAAAATACGCACCTTTATATTGTGAACAATTTGATACCAAAACGAGCGACGTAACACGAAAATCGATGTTATCAAACTGAAAGAGTATACACATTAGGTTGCGGTATGCAAATTGGTGCTCGTTCACGGGTAACTTTAAGCTTTGCTGCAGGGAGTCTCGCCAGGCTTTTGGACATTATATGCATATACACCTGTAGGGAATTTAATTGCAAACACAATGATACCAAAATGAACGATGTGGCACGAGAATTAAAGTGAGAAAACTGAAACGAGTATACAGTACACATTTTACTGATTTTGTGCGCTCACGGGTAACTTTTGCCAACTTTTTATTCTTTGCTGTTGAGAGTCACTCCAGGCTTTTGGAAATTATATGCATATACACCTGTAGGGAATTCTATTGTGAACACAATGATACCAAAACGAATGACGTAGCACGAGAATTAAGATGAGAAAAATGAAACGAGTATACACATTTGAGTGTCGCCACGCTCTTGCCCGCACGTTGGGGGCGTGACCTCGAAGTTGGCGGCGCGCATGCCGTAGGCACGAAAATCTTAATTTTCCTATTCACCTAACAGTAAACAGGATTTAGTCAGGTTGTTGTGGGGCTGCATCCTGGGGAAGGGTCAGCAGTTCCACCTTGTGGGAGAGAGGGGGGATACCTCAATGTAAGCCTGACATGTATACTGTATATATACACTGGCTGCCTATCCCCTAACACTATGAATATTATCATTATTAATATTATTATTACTGTAATATTATTCATATACATAGCTGCATAGTTTATAGTACATGTAGAGGTGAAATTCACATAAATGAGGCCACAAAATTGAATTACAGTAATTAGTGTCCTTTCCATGTCTATGGGAGCAGTTTAATACAGTACAGTTCATAGGGGGAATGGGTGACCTGTAACAGTGGTCTACATCCTCGGCTCACAACCGAGGGATCCTGGTTCAATAACTGGGCAGGGCAGAGACTGTTGGGCATGTTATATTTCACCTGATAGCTCTGTTCACTAAACAGTAAAATAAGTATATGCAACTTAGGGAACATATGGGGTTTGCATCCTGGGGAACCTCAGTAAGCCTAAATATAGATTTCCAGTCCCCAACAACAAAAATGAAATCTTCCTAGGAATGTTTATTGGCAGATTTGCCTTCGTAATTATTAGACTGCTTTTTATATTCAGCCATTTATATATGTCTTGTTCTCCCTCTATGTCTGTGTTATAAGTTAAATAAGGGGTGTGGTTAACCATAATGGTATTGATTGCAATATTCCCTTTACCGTTGCTCCTCCCCTCCCTCCAGCATGCAGGAGGACATGGCTCGGGGCACAGACGCCATGGGCTACATGAAGTTCCTCCAGGGAATGACCATCTTCGTCCAGTGTTCCGCAGAGGTTCCTTTTATGCTTATAAATAGTGAGTGCATTGTAAAAGTTTCCTTTGTGGATATATTTACAGTTTGGTATTTGTGATTAAACAGTTAAGTGGATCCTTGCTCTAATGAACCACGCTCTGATGAATTCCTGGATGATTTTAACAAATTGCATTCAGTGCAAGTTGTTCAGTAGAATATTTTCCATTGTTCAGCATGTACAAGTACTGTATATTCCATTGAACAAGGCTGGCCGAGACCGAGCATCGGGATGCAACTGTGTTAACAACATCCATGGTCCACCATTGATGTATATACATGGGTAACGGGTGTATATACTGTGTATTAACCAGGTGTAAACAATTATAAAGTGCTTAAAAACTTTTAAATAAACTTTAAGATGACATAATTGTTTACAAGTTGTTTTATAATACAAATAATTAAAGAAATATTGACAACTATACAAAGAGGTATTATTATTATGCCATGTCACAAAGAAATCACAATGGTGTGATGTATTAATGAAATAATAATTTTGAGGCATTGGAGAGAATTGAACTGGCATTTTGGTGGTTCTCAGACACATGCCTTCACCCACTTCGCAACAGTGGGACAGAAGCCGAATAACCCGGAACTCTACCAAATTCACTGGGAGGTTCTGGAGGCTCCGAACTGGAGCCCAGAATGCTGGTTCAGGTCACTCCATTGCCTCAAAATGATTTTTCTAATTATGCCATGTGTTAATAACATTTATCATTATCTAAAGGAATCTTGATTTAGCTTTGAACATTATTAACATATGAGAAGATTTAAAAGCTGAAATATTTTTAAAACTAACAATTATTATACAAATATTATTCAGACAATAATAACTCGAAACCGTACACAAAGTTGCAACAAAAAAATATATAGCAAAATATTTCCAAACCACAAGTCAACATGTGTTGGAACAGTGCTGGTTGGTTGTTCGATGAAATGATACATTGGTAATTATTGTATTATCAACATTGTAATTGGCCTTTTTATTAAGAAAATGTCTTACTGTGGCAGTCATAATGCTGAAGAGTGTAATAAAAAGTAGAATATATTATCCACTGGACTGAAAATTGGCATCACATGTAAGCTGTCAGCATGGTGATGAGAGTTGGCAGCAGTCAGCTAGCTGCCTACAGAACTCCGTGGATAATGTGACTTACTGGGGAGCCGGTCGGCCGAGCGGACAGCACACTGGACTTGTACTCGCTTAATTGTGCTTGCGGGGTTGAGCTTTGGCTCTTTGGTCCCGCCTCTCAACTGTCAATCAACTGGTGTACAGGTTCCTGAGCCTACTGGGCTCTATCATATCTACAATTGAAACTGTGTATGGAGTCAGCCTCCACCACATCACTGCCTAGTGCATTCCATTTATTAACTACTGACACTGAAATTCTTTCTAACGTCTCTGTGGCTCATCTGGGTACTAAGTTTCCACCCGTGTCCCCTTGTTCGTGTCCCACCCGTGCTGAAGAGTTTGTCTTTGTCCACCCTGTCAATTCCCCTGAGAATTTTGTAGGTGGTTATCATGTCTCCCCTTACTCTTCTGTTTTCCAGGGATGTGAGGTTCAGCTCCTTTAGCCTTTCCTCGTAGCTCATTCCTCTCGGTTCCGGGACGCGCCTGGTGGCATACCGCTGAATCTTCTCTAGCTTTGTCTTGTGTTTAACTAGGTATGGACTCCAGGCTGGAGCTGCATACTCCAGGATTGGTCTTACATAAGTGGTATACAGGGTTCTGAAAGATGCCTTACACAAGTTTCTAAAGGCAGTTCTTATGTTGGCCAGTCTAGCATATGCCACTGATGATACTCTTTTGATGTGGGCCTCTGGGGACAGGTTCGGTGTGATATCAACCCCCCAGATCTCTCTCTATTTGACTCTTGCAGGATTTCACCTCCCAGATGATACCTTGTGTTCAGCTTCCTGCTCCCTTAGCCTAATTTCATCACCTTACACTTTCCTGAGTTGAACTTTAGCAGCCATTTTCTAGACCATTCCTCCAGTTTATCCAGGTCATCCTGTAGTCTGTCTATCTTCATCCATCTTGATTCTTCTCATAATTTTTGCATCATCAGCAAACATTGAGAGGAATGAGTCTATACTCTCCGGAAGATCGTTTACATATATTAGAAACAGGATGGGTCCAAGTACTGAGCCCTGTGGGACTCCGCTGGTGACATCTCGCCACTCTGATGTTCCTTCCCCTCACCGTTACTCGCTGTTTCCTGTTGCTTAAGTACTCCTTTATCCACTGGAGCTCCTTCCCTTTTACTCCTGCCTGTTGCTCCAACTTTTTTAACAGCCTTTTATGGGGTACTGTGTCAAAGGCTTTCTGGCAGTCCAGGAAAATGCAATCGGCCCACCCTTCTCTTTCCTGCCTAATTTTTCCTGCTATGATGCTATGTCAGGAGTCATAGCATCTGTTATGACTCCTGACAATTTTGTTTCCGTTAGTCCAATTACATCAGGGTTTTCTTCTTGCGCCCTTTCTGCCAGTTCACTTGCTTTATTGGTAATCCCATCTTGTGATCCTGTGGTCCCGGGTTCGATCCCGGGCGCCGGCGAGAAACAATGGGCAGAGTTTTTCACCCTATGCCCCTGTTACCTAGCAGTAAGATAGGTACCTGGGTGTTAGTCAGCTGTCACGGGCTGCTTCCTGGGGGTGGAGGCCTGGTCGAGGACCGGGCCGCGGGAACACTAAAGCCCCGAAATCATCTCTAGATAACCTCAAGATACTGTAGTAGTTGGGAGTCATCTTGGCGAGATAGCTTCAGGGAGCCACTGAGGCTCATCCAGAAAGAGGCGTTTCATTATATTCAACGCTAGTTTCTGTGGGGAGCCCTGTAGGCTCCCTGAAGCTATCCAAACTGAAGTGTGCTATATTAGTTTGGGGTCATCAGTCACAGGAGTCCTTTTGTCTACCGGGAACCATGAGCCAGAACCTGGCCCCCTCAGAGAGGTGCAGGTAACAATGCCCTATAAACACTTTACATTAAAAGTATGTCATAATTGCCATCGATTGGGAAAGCATCCAGAATAGTATGCGAATCAAAACAGACGACTGTCTGGTTAACCTATGCAATCTACAACCTAAAAGATCAAAATAACTGATTGAAACCCCTATGCATCCATTAGTTTAAAAAAATTGTGGATTACAGTATCTATACAAATATCAGGATGTGTGCACACCTTGGTTCAAACATTGGAGGATAATGTGTGTGGTGCAAGAATTAATCAATACAGCTTTCATAGCTGTGAGCAATAAGAAAGAAGAATCACGAGCAAGAAGAAAACCCTGAAACAAAAATGATCTGCCTGCTACAGGTATATATCAATTTCAATACTCTCCGCCTAATTCAGAGTGGCAGCATTATGTGCCAGACAAGCATGACTTCACATGAGCTGTGCCGCATGTCTGCGCAGCTCCCCCCTCCCCAGGAGGGGGAAATAGAACTCTATAGAACTTGAAAGATTATAATGGATAGAAATGCAAGAAGTTTAGATTGAGGAAATACCTGGATAAACACTGGTTTGGAAGGGAAGGGGGAAACAACACTGGTTATTTGATTACAGAGTTGTTGATTTATGGAACATATTACATGGAAACATAAAAGATTTGGGATTGATGGATTGTTTGAAGGCTAAGGTTGTTTATAAGATTGTTTATAAAGCTAGACACATATATGAATAATTTTGGTGGGATATAAATAGGAGCTGCCTTGTATGGTTTAATAATAATAAGACTGCAGTTTTCTTTATTCTTTGTTCTTGTATATCACTGCCCCATTAGCGACACTTAAAATCTCTGCAATTACCAGTGTATCACTTTTTATCAGCATCTCTGTGGCTGCTTTTCATTCCAGACTGGATCTTGAGAAGACTTGGTGCTGGCTACCTGACCTCACTCGTCTTCTTCCTGTACATCATCCGTCTTATGGGCCTAGCAATTGTGGGCGCTTATGGTCCTCTCTGGGGGACACTAGTAATGGAAGTCCTGAATGGTCCGTGCTTTGGTCTGGGTTTTACTGCTATTGTGGTACACTCGGCCAAGATTTCTCCGCCAGGCACCAGCACCACTGTACAGAGTTTGGTTAACATCTGCTACGATAGTATTGGTACGTATCTCTGATGGAGTGAAGTTCTTGATAAAGGCACAGCCAGCATAAGGCTGCTGATTGCTGAGCGCCTTGTATTGTGATTGCCAACTTCTGTTTTTCTGCGAAGTTAGGACTGATGGGGAACCTTGAGAACATTTGCCTTTACATAACAGTAAGTCCGCCAACATCTTTGTGGTGTTGAAGGCTTTGATGTGCAGACCAATCTATCTAAAATTGATCAAGACTAGAGATAAGTCCAAAATTCTGATAAATATGGGGGGTGATAAAGCCATCAGGAGTAGTGTGTACTCAAGATGGGAACAAACTTGGTGTCATAAAAAGTTTTGCAGCACTTGCTGTCACAGTGGTAAAACACTTGCCCAGTGCTTCACGAGCAATTTGGTCTGGGTTCGTATCCTGGCCGGAGAGGATTGACTAATGCCAATCCTTAACTGTACGCCTCTGTTCACCCAGCATTGAATGGGTACCTGGTTGTTAAAATTAAGATGAAGGACCGGCCCGAATGCTATGCGTGTTATTGGCTTTACATGAATGTAAAAACTCGTGTGTGTGTGTGTGTGTGTGTATATATATAAATATATATAAATATATATAAATATATATAAATATATATAAATATAAAAAGTGTGATTCACCTTAAGGCAGTTAGTTTTCTTACGACTTTGGCATTGCCAAGTTGAATACTCTACCACTAGACCACCGCTGACTTGTAAGTCATACAACTGGATTTCTACTGAAATCACTGGCAGTCTGGAGTTGTACTGAAGCCAGTTCAGGTTTTATGTATGACCCAGAAGCACTCGGGTGGAAGGGCAGAGTGCTCCTACACCTTACATCCCAACTTCAGAAACGCCCAGAAATCATATTAAAGTGATTAATGTAGGGCAATGAGGTAGGTTCGTGCCCATCTCATTTCCCTAGTGGATTTTCTCATTGATATATATCACGTTATGTGATTTCTGTGTGTATATGTGTAGGAATGAAGTTTTTGACTCTTCAATAACCATGAAAAATCATGTGCTTATCCTAGTTAAACACATGATTTTCTTAACTTAGTTTTCTTAACTTAGAAAAATTCATGTGCTTGTAACCAACTGCTTGTTGGGTTGGTGACAGCTATAACCTAGTCATGTGGGATTTGTTCCCCCTCATGTGCTCACAGTACTTCTGTGGAAGCCCAGAAGGTAACCTGGGTTACCCAGGCAGAGGCTTGGGAGGCCCATGGTGCGTACCTCCTGTGTAACCTGGTATACGCCTTGGTAATGGACCCGGCCTCTTTTGAGTGGTTCTTCTTCCCCACATTGGGTGCATTACGAGGTTCGAGGTTCCAAATTGTACTCGCCTAGTTGTGCTTGCAGGGGTTGAGCTTTGGCTCTTTGGTCCCACCTCTCAACTGTCAGTCAACTGGCATACAGATTATGGAGCCTATTGGGCTCTATCAAATCTACATTTCAACCTTGTATCCCCTGGTCCAGATGTTGCTTTGGGTTTTGGCTCTGATTGAATCCTATCTGGGGAGGGTGCTTCTACTGGCCCCCATGATGGCTGACCCAGCCATGGTTTCAGTTGCTGCTTGCTCAGTGTCCGAACCTGGGAGACTTTCGGCGGCTCCACCTCTTTCAGCAAGTTGGGGCAGTGAGGTACCTTGCTGGTTCGACTTAATATTCCGCTCTTCACGTTTGGTTTTTCTGATGTGGGTGTATCGCTACTTGTATGGTGATCAGGTGACTTCTTTGATGGTGTCCCACCTGGGGTCTTTGTCTCAGCAACAGTATGAAGTCTTCTGTTGGTTTTCTGCAATTTCCCTTTTCTTTGGAGTGTTGTTGGTGTCTGTGCAGGTGGTGTTGTCCTTTCTTTCTTGGTTCTTTTTGAACCGGCATCTCATGTTGATTACTATTGCTTCTTATTGTGTGGCGTTGGTGGAGCTGCTGTGGCTTGTGTTTGGGGTGGATTTTGCATCTGCTCCATTCCGCAAGACCTCCGGTGCCTTTTCACCTCCAGCCTGCTCATGTGCCGCTTGAGCCGTCATAGTCTTTGGACCTGGTGCTCTTTTTCTTTCCTCCCCTTCGGTTTGTTATGGCCCCTTTGGTTTGGGATTGTTTTGTGACACGTTTTTGTTGGCTTTAACCTCTGGGTCGTGTTGCGGAGTTTCATGCTCCGGCACTGGGGGTTCTGTTCCTTTGGTCTTAGGGTTGCTTTGTTCATTTGCAGCCCTCTCTTTTTCTGGCAAAGGATGAGTCTACTGCATTCCTGAAGGGTCCATGGGTTGTTATTGATTCTTTTGGTTCAGCCAGAGGTGCATCATGTTTTGTGTCCAATGGCGGTTTTATGTCGCTACCTACGGGCCTCTTGTTCAGTTACAGTGGACTTGCTTTGGGTTGATCCAGTTTGCCCTGGTTCCCTGTTCCAGGGCTCATGTCTCTCGGGTTGTTCGCAGGGTTATCAAGTCTAGCCAGCCTGTGGTTTATCCTAGTGATCATGATGGGAGGAAATATGCTGCTCTCGGTGCTGTTTTGGGGAATATGTCTTGGGTCGACTTTCAGGCACAGGGTTTTTGAGATCAGACAGGGTCCTGGCTGCCAGATATCTTGTCAACGTTTTGGGCCCTGTCTGGCCTTGCGTTGCTTTGGGTCGTCTGTCGCGACCTGTTGTCTCTTTGTCTTGAGATGACTGGTGCTGATGCTTCCCGGGTAAGTCCCTCTTTTCCTTATCTGTGGGTAATTAGCTTCTGGGAGCCGACAGGACTCCCCACAGAAAACCAATGTAATGTAGTGTCACAGCTCCTTCAGCTTCATTTGCCTTGTTTAATTAAGCAGTTTGCTTCAATACTTTGGGAGGCGGTTTCTTTGTTTTTAGCCTCCCTGACTCACGTGTCGGCAGGCTGTGCTAGCTTAGGCCTTGGATTCAGCATGGGCCCTGGCTCTTTTTTTGCAGCTTCCCTTTATTGTCCTCTGCTTTTTCCTGATAACTCAGTTGCGCAATTTTGGTCAGCGGCTCTAGTGAGTTTCGTCCAATCTCTAACTTGTTGTGTGTCTAGAGGGGCCCGTTTTGTTGGTCCTCTCGGAGGGGTCAAGCCAGGGTTTTGCCTGATGTTGGTAGAGGTAGGTCCTCTGTGGTGCCGGCAGCGTGGGCTGTTGTCTCTTCCCTCTGCAGCAGCTTCTTCGACTGGGAGGCGCCGTTCTTGCTCTGTTTAGAAGACTGGTTCTTTTTACCCATGCCTGGTCTCACTATTCGTGGGCATTTCAGGTCATGTCTTGCGGCCTGTGGTGGCACTGGGCATTCTCTCCTCCTTCTGGGGATTTAAGTCTGGTTGGGCAGGCCTCTTCTCCTTCCCTCCATGAGTCGTCTTGGAATGGATATGTCTGGGCATGGTTGAAATGACCTCATCGCTCCGTTGGGTTTCCTGCCATTTTCTGTTTCCAAAAAGGGATTGTGCAGATCTCTAGTACATTATGGATTTGGCTCGTCTGAACCGGTTGATTTCTTGCTCCACCTTTCAGATAACTACTTTGTCCCAGTTCCATCTTGTTCTTGGACCGGGCACTTGGATTATATCTCTGGACCTCAAGGACACGTATTGGCACTTCCTATTCATCCAGGGTTCAGTTATTGGTTAGGTTTTGTCGTGGGATGACAGGCTTACTGCTTATGGGCTCTTCCATTAGGGGTGAATCTGGCACCACTCGCTTTTATGGGCTTGACTTGGGTCATGGTGGCCAATCTTTGTTTGTTGGAGGACTGAGGGTTTTGGCTTACCTTGATGACTAGCTGGTTTGGGCTCCCAGTCGGTCTGCTAGTCAGGGATCTGGTTCTTTCCCAGCTTGCGAAGTTTGGGTTACTGGTGACCTGGAGGAAGTCTATTGGTTCAATTTCCCTGCCTCCTGTAACCTTGCCCCGGCTGCATTCCCACCATTTAATGCTATTGAGGGGACCCGGGTTACTTGACAGATGCTCGAGCAACTGTATGGGAGTGAACTTTGCCCCTCTTGTTTACCCGTTGGGCAGGGTTTATCACTGGAGGCTGTTCTGGTATCTTTGGGGCAGCCCCTTTTGCAGCTCTTGCGATCGCTGGGTTCATTTCCCAGTGTCCTTTCGCTGGTTGCTGTGCACCAGCTGCCTCTTCGGATTTTTTGTGGTTCAGTGCCCTGGCACCTTCCTTGCCTGTTATGTTCACAGATGCCTCAGCTGTAGGCTGGGGCTTTGTGACTAGTGCTCAGCAGTCTGGTCAGGGTCATTGGTGTTCTCTTCATCGAGCTTTCAACACAGTGAAGGAGATTGTGGCTATGTGACAGGAGCTGTGAAGAGTTCAGATTCCTCAGGGTTCGGTGATTCGGCTCCATTCGGACTGTATTTCCCTGTGGTTCATTGTTTCAACCGGCCGGGGGGAAGGGGGAGGGGTTTCCTCAGTCTGTGGCTCTGTGGGGCTAATTGCTTTGAGTAACTCTTCTGCTGAGTTCTCAGGGGTTACATCTCTGCCCTGTTCATGTTCAGGGAGCATGGACCTCTTTGCGATTGAGTGGTCTCAGCGTCTACCTCTTCACGTGATGCTGTTCCCCGACTGCGAGGCCATCACGGTGGATTCCTTTCAGCTGGACTGATCGAGGTGGGGGTACGTTTACCTTTTATTCCTGGTCCGGGTGTTGCTCCGGGTGGTTGCACAGCTGGAATTGTACAAGGAAAACATGATTCTTCAGCTCCTTGGTAGCTGGCTCAGCCTTTGTTCCAGGTCCTACTTGCTCAGTGTCTGGACCCGGGCATCTTTCTGCAGCTCCGCCTCTTTCAGAGGGTCAGGTGGATGACGTACCTACTGGTTTGACCTTGTCTTCCGCTTTTTGCGTCTGGACTTCTTGACTTATTGCCATTTGTATGGTGATCAGGTGGCTGGTTTGATGGTGTCCCACCTGCGGTCTTTTTCTCAGCGACAGTATGAGGTTTCTCGGCAGTCTTTTTTTCATTTTTCTCTCCCTTCATCGTCTTTCTTCTGTTTCAACCCGTGTTGCTGTTACTTCTTATCGTGTGGTGTTGGCGGAGCCACTTCTGCTTGTGTTCAGGATGTTATTTCTGACCTGTTTTGCAAGTTTTCTTGTGCCTTGTCACCTCTGGCCTCCTCATGCATCACCTGAGCCTGCCTGGTCTTTGGATCATGTTCTGCCTTTTCTTTCTTCCCTCTTGGTTTATTGTGGCCCCTTCGATCAGGTATTGTTTTTTTATTTCCTTGGCTTCAGCAGTCGGGTGAGAGATCTTCATGCTTTCCTCCGGTGCTAGGGGTTTTGTTCTTTTGGTCCTGGGGTTGTTTTGTTTGTTTGCAGCCTGTTCCTTCTTTTCTGGCAAAGAACGAGATGGCAGGCTTCCGGAGGGGTCCTTTGGTTGTGGAAGCTTGATTGGTTGGCTGGGGTGTATCATGCACTTTGTCTGTGGAGGCTTTACTCTGCTAACTTTGAGCTGCGGGTTCTGGTTTGGTGGACTCATTGTGGGTGGGTCCTATTTCTCTGTTCCTCTGTTCCAGAGCTCATGTTCTCAGGTTGTCCGCAGTGTCATTAAAGCTAGCCAGCCTGTGGTCTACCCTCGTGCTCGTGATGTTTGCAAATATGCTGCCTTGTCGGCCTACTTGATACATGCTTGATGGGGGTTCTACGCGTTCTTCTGCTCCCTAAGCCTGGCCCAAGGCTAGGGCTGACTTGTGAGAGTTTGGTCCACCAGGCTGTTGCTTGGAGCGACCCGCAGGTCCACATATCCACAGCTCGGTTGGTCCAGCACTTCTTGAAGATGTCCACAGGTTGTTCCGGCAATATTTCTTATACTCGCTGGGAGGATGTTAAACAACCGTGGACCTCTGATGTTTATACAGTGTTTTCTGATTGTGCCTATGGCACCTCTGCTCTTTACTGATTCTATTCTGCATTTTCTTCCATATCGTTCACTAAAGTATGTTGTTATTTTACTGTGTATATTTGGGACCTGGCCCTCCAGTATTTTCCACGTGGATGTTATTTTTTTAACACTCTTGTCTCCTTTCTAGTGAGTACATTTGGAGAGCTTTGAGATGGTTCCAATAATTTAGGTGTATTATTGTGTCTAAATGCCGTATATGTTCTCTGTATTCTCTCTTTCAGCAATCTCTCCTGCTCTGAAGGGGGGAGCGAGTACTGAACAGTGCTCAAGATGGAACAGCACAAGTAATTTAAAGAGTACAACGGCCATTTTTGGTAATATGTCTTGGGCAGATGTTATGGCACGGGGGTTTGAGGTCTAACAGGGTTTTGGCTGCTCGGTATCTTGTAAATATTCCAGGTCCTCTGCGGTCTTGTGTTGCTTTGGGGCGTCTGTCGTGGCCTTCGGGCTCGACTTCGAATTGATGCTTGTGGTGCTCCCACCTCCCTGGGGAGTTTCCCTACTAGTCCTTCTCTGTGGGGTAGTTAGCATCAGGAAGCTGATGGGGCTCCCCTCAGAAAACCAGTGTTGAATGTAATGAAACTCCAGTTTGTGGGCGAGCCCCGGAGGCTCCGACACCTTCTCTCCACAAGTTGGTGGTGTGTTTTCTCGGTAAAGAAGTGAAGCTGATCGATCCGGGTGTTCCATACCAGCTCCTTCCTGGCTCCTCCTTTCCCCTTTCCCCAGCGAGGTGGGAGGAAACTAGCGGTGGCCTAGTTTCACTAAGTTTTGTTGTTTCTTTTGTTATTGGGAAAGTTCTTTTGGCATTTTGTGGCCTTTGGTTGCAATTTTAAACCAGGCATTGGTTTTTGATTCGCCTATCTTTCTGGGTGCCTTTCCTGGTGATGGCAAAGATGATATCCTTTAAATATAAGGTGGTCATATAAGGTACATATAAGGTCATATAAGGTGGTCAAATATAAGGTACATTTCGCAAAAGCTTTTGATAAATGTGACCATGGTGTTATTGCACATAAAATGCGTTCAAAAGGAATTACCGGGAAAATAGGCAGATGGATCTACAATTTCCTGACTGACAGAACCCAATGTGTAATAGTCAACAAAATAAAATCCAGCCCATCAACCGTGAAGAGCTCAGTCCCCCAGGGTACTGTGCTTGCTCCAGTACTTTTTCTCATCCTCATATCGGACATAGACCAGAACACAACCTATAGCACTGTATCATCCTTTGCAGATGACACTAGGATTTTCATGAGAGTTGGCAACATAGAGGACACGGCAAACCTCCAATCAGATGTTGATCAGGTCTTTCTATGGGCTACAGAAAATAATATGGTATTCAACGAGGATAAGTTTCAGCTCATGCGCTACGGAAAAATTGAAAACATAAAAACAGGAACCACGTACAAAACGCAGGCAAATCATAACATAGAACGAAAAGGCAATGTAAAGGACCTGGGTGTACTCATGTCGGAAGACCTTACCTTTAAAGAACACAATAAAGTAGCCGTCACAACTGCAAGAAAAATGACAGGTTGGATAACAAGAACTTTCACACTAGAGATGCTATACCGATGATGATACTTTTCAAAACGCTTGTGCTATCTAGAGTGGAGTACTGCTGCACAATGACAGCCCCTTTCAAAGCTGGAGAAATTGCTGACCTAGAGAGCGTGCAGAGATCCTTTACTGCTAGAATCCACTCAGTAAAACATCTAAATTACTGGGACCGACTAAAGAGCCTAAATCTGTACTCCCTTGAGCGCAGGCGGGAGAGATACATAATAATATACACGTGGAAAATAATTGAGGGGCTGGTCCCAAACCTGCACACAGAAATAACACCACATGAGACCAGAAGACATGGCAGGATGTGCAGAATACCCCCGTTGAAAAGCAGAGGTGCAACAGGTACTCTGAGAGAGAACTCTATCAACATCAGAGGCCCGAGACTGTTCAACACGCTTCCACTACACATAAGGGGCATAACTGGCAAACCCCTCACAGTGTTCAAGAGAGAACTGGATAAGCACCTCCAAAGGATACCTGATCAACCAGGCTGTGACTCATACGTCAGGCTGCGAGCAGCCGCGTCTAACAGCCTGGTTGATCAGTCCAGCAACCAGGAGGCCTGGTCGACGACCGGGCCGCGGGGACACTAAGCCCCGGAAGCACCTCAAGGTAGCCTCAAGGTAGGTAGGTGGTCATAGGCCATCGCTCCCTGCACCTCTCTGAGGGAGCCAGGTTCTGGCTATTGGTTCCCGGTAGGTACAAAAAACTTTGCAACTGATCACACTTGTCAATGTGGTACTTAATCAGTGATCATAACTTCAGGGAGCCTCCAAGGCTCGCCCAGAAACTGGCATTTCATTACATTCAATGCTGGGTTTTTAAGGCTGGAGCATAACACTATCTGTTTTCTTGTTTTTTTTTTTTTTGCAGGATATGCATCTGCATCACTTGTGGGGGGCCTGCTGTACTCGAGTCTGGGTGGCCCTGGTACTTACCTAGTGGCAGGCATAACAGCTGTTATTACATTTGTCCTGCATCTTGCCTCTCACAAACTATTTCCACCTGTTCAAGGTAAGTGTTCAAAGGGCGAGAGTAAATTTTCACTAATGTGATATCCAGTTACGTTTGCCTCCAAATGTTTAGCTGTTCTCTTTGGTTCAGGAATATTTTACTATTTAAGGGTTAATTCAGTTATTTCAGCTCTACAAAAGTCTAATTTCTGAGATATCACATCTCACTGCTAAGTAAAATAAGATCACTGTGTAACAGACATGGATCATATGCAGTAATCACAGATGACAAGTGCATTAGTACATGCTTGCAGCTTTTTGATCCATCACTTCCTCTTCAAGCTTTTCATGGTTTAGTTTTGTGGGATTTTTGTCACTAGAGTTGTTCACCGACATATTGGGCATAAGGCCTTGTGACTAATTTTGTTTGGGTTCAAATCTTGGCTAGGAAGGGTTGACTGGGCAATTAATATGGCACTAAGTCTTAACTGTTCACACCTGTTTCCAGTAACTGGGAACCTGGTTGTAAACTGATTAGTGGGTTGTGTTCTAGGAAAACCAAGAGGGGTAAAGCTATGATGTATGGGAAGAGCTAACTCCTCTAATCCTGCTGAAAGGAGTGATTAGATATACCCTGTATACCCCTGAGCACAAAAAAAAAAAAAAAAAAAAAAAAAAAAAAGTTTCTAATTATTGCATCAACCAGGGGCTTTGGTCCCCTCTCTTGCAGTTGGTGTAATTTACAGTGAGGAAGTTTGCATCAGTTTGAATTGCATTAAGGGCTTCCCTCTTCCACAGGGATCTGGCTTACCATGGAATGCTCTAGTACCTCAACAGATGGAGGTTCTACTCGCTTCTTATACCTTTCAAAGTGCCCTCTTCATTTCTGGCTTTTCAGGATTTAAATTAATCCTTAATCTGGTCCATAATTTGGGGATGTCCACTGTCCTTGAAGATCACTTATCCTATTTCTATTTTTATGTTTCTATTTGACATGGCCTTCTTCCATTGGATGTGCAGGATGTTCAGCCTTCCTCATTTGGAAATGTCACTTCTTTCTTGGGTCTTTCTAGGGGGAGCCCCTACGGCTCCTCAGAGCTATCCAGGCTGATATGAATATCCCTAACTTTGGCATCAGTCGATGTGGGTGGAGTTCTAGGCCTACCGGGGACCACGAGCCAGAACCTGGCCCCCTCAGAGAGGCACGAGGAGCAATGGCCTATGAAAATGCACATGTGATTTTGGAGCATTCTATATCTGCCATCGACCGGGACAGGCACCCAGAAAAGTAAGCGCCAAAACAAACCCCTAAACAAACCCCTATTCTGGTTAAAACGAGAAAAATAGACAAACGAGTGGATAGAACTCCCCAAATGAAAACGAGCAAATGAGCGTGATGTCACATAAGCCGCGCTGCATGTCTGCGCAGCTCCCCCCTCCCTGGAAGGAGGAGCCCCAGACTCCCGCGACAAAGATCGTCGCGCAGACACCCCAGTTTTTCGGCTGATGTTATTTGGCATGGTCGTGTGGCTCCAGCTCTGGACTCTTTGTGTTGTGCTGTCCTCTGTTTCAGTACTGCTCTTACAGGGGTGTGCGAGCTGGGAATAATATTCACAGGTACTTGGGCTGCATGTGCTTTGGGTCACCTTCCCTGAGTACCCTTAAAGTACTGCCCTTGGGGCTTGGGGTTCTTTTCCACAAGTTACCTTGGGTCTACCTCTGTTGGTCTATCGCTGCTTGGCGATTGACCGCCCCGAGTGATTTGGGGGGTTTCCACCCTTGTTTGCCTTGGAGTAAGTGGTAGTTTTTGCACTGGTAGGGATGTGGGGGTACTTTGCAGCTAATTTTCATCTATAACAGCGACCGGCTCTGTTCCCTCTGGGTACGCTGTCCTCTTGCGAAGTTTTTCTTTTCTTTTTGTTTTTGCCTGGTTGGGAGGGGGGTCTGCCTTGGTATTCCTTCCCCCATTATACTATGGTTTACTTTTGTTTGGTGGTACCCCCTGCTTCGCCCTCGTGAGTTGACACGTCCCGAGGGTTCTGCATTAGTATTGTTGGTCAGTAGCTTGGGAACCGGTTAGCAGTACCCTGCCTGGGATTATCCCTTAGCAGACCCATTATAGGGGCCCTGGGAAACCCCGCAGGGGGGAGGGGGCCGTTGGGTCTGATGGATGTGACCCCGGAGTCGCCTCTCGCTTTGTGCGAGTTTGAGGGTTGCTCTGACCCCTTGTCTCAGGGTGACGCTCATTTTTTTGACTCCGTCATACTGCCTGTTGGGTCAGTGACACATTCAACCCTGAGTCCTGCAAGCTTTGTTGATTGTTTGTGACTCGATTCACCCAATCTACTGATGACATTATTCGGGTGCAGACAGCTCGTGTATTGCAGGATAGGTTTAGGTTGGTTGCTTCCCCGGATGCCCTGAGGCTGCCCCGTTTTGCTTATAGGGACCCGTACTTGGGGTGTTGGTCGCGTTGCCCATGGTTCCGTCTGCACCACATCGTTCTTTCCCTGCTGTGGTTCATTCAGTTCCCCCTTTTCTCTGCTTCCGGCTCCTAAGCGTATGAGGACTTCAAGGTCTGGGCAGGGTTTAGAGGTTTCCGAGACTCTGGCAGTTTTGGGGATTTCCCCTTCCGGGGTGGCGATGGAGGCATTAGAGTCGGTTCCTCCAGCCATAGCTCAAGGGTCTGGCCAGTGGGCCCACTCTCTTCCTGCGAGGCCAGGGCTTTGGAGGACGACTTGCCCCCGAGGGCCTGATGTGGAGATTCCCGGGGTTGTGGAGGAGTCGACTTGGCGGCCTTGGGCCCCGTTGGACCCCACCTGGGTTCAGCGGGGCTTACTGTTACAAGGAGTGGGGGTTTTCCTTTCTCCCTCTGCATACGAGTTGGATTTGGGTTTGGCTCCCCGGGTTCGGTTCCGTGTTCCTGTGGGTCCTTCAGTTCCGTCCTTCCGGAGGTTTTCGGCTTCCCGCGTCTCAACTACTGAGGTGCGGGTGGCCATTGCGGCTTGCCTCCTGCGCGACCCGGAGTATGCCTCTGTAATGGATCCATCTTCCTTCAGGTTTGGATCTTCGTCTCCCTACTGGGTTCGTTATGAGGTTCTGGGTTCATCCTGGCTTGCGGACTGCACTTTGTTCTCGCTGGATGCTTGGGACGTTTTCTGCCGTACCCCGCATGCTTGAGTGGCGCGAGGCATGGACTGTGGTCCAGGTTTCCCTGAGGGGCAACTTTGTGCACCTTAATGAGGGCCTTTTTGCTGCTGTTGGTACGGTTCAGCTTCATGTGCAGGTTCCTTACCCTGTCGGCTGCGCTTGTGGCTGAGGACTTGCACACGTGTGGTTTGTTGGCTTCGGTCCTGCGTTTCTTTTCCATCCTGGAGTTGTCTTCGGATTAGCTTGTGGAGCATTCCTGGTTCTGGTGCCTTGGTCTCGGCTGCTCGTGCGTCGTCTGCACTTTTGAAGCTGTTTGCGCCGATCCTGCAGGATGCGCCGTCGCGTTTTTTTGTGGCACGTCTTGCGTGTTGACAGGTGGTGCTCGCTTCCTCCTTGGAATCTGCTTGGGCCCTGGCACTTATATTGCCTTCGCCCTTTTGTCCTTTGCTGTTTGCGGCCTCTGCAGTCAAGCAGTATATGCAAGCCGCTTCTTCCAGCTTCCACCCGATGTCTGTTTTGTTGGTTCTCCAGGGGTTATCTTGAGATCTTGAGGTTATGTCGCGATGATTTCGGGGCTTAGTGTCCCCGCGGCCCAGTCCTCAACCAGGCCTCCACCCCCAGGAAGCAGCCCGTGACAGCTGACTAACTTACAGGTACCTATTTACTGCTAGGTAACAGGGGCATCAGGGTGAAAGAAACTCTACCCAGTGTTTCTCGCCGGCACCCGGGATCGAACCCGGAACCACAGGATCACGCGTCCAGTGTTCTGTCCGCTCAGCGACCGCCTCCCTCGGTGGTACCGAGGGTGCTAGTATGATGGGTCCCAGGTGGGTTCGTTCTGAAGGGATTGTGCCAGGGCTCGCAGTTCCACTAGTCAGGGTAGGCAACAGGTGCCAGTTTTGGAGCCGGTGCCGCCTTTGGTCCTGGCTGCGCCTTGTCGGCACGGTGCTCGCTTTGTGCGCAGGTCGGCTTCTTGTAAGGGGTATCGGCCCTTACGCAGTTCGCCCTATTGATGGGGGCTCCCCCCCTTTCCCTTCCAGGGGAGGGGGGAGCTGTGCAGACATGTGGCGTGGCTCATGTGACACCATACTCGTTTGCTCGTTTTCATTTGGGGAGTTCTATCCACTTGTTTGTCTATTTTCGTCGTTTTAACCAGAATAGGGGTTTGTTTTGGGGTGCCTACCTTTCTGGGTGTCTATCCTGGTCGATGGCACATATAGAATGCTCCAAAATCACATGTGCATTTCTATAAGCCATTGCTCCTCATGCCTCTCTGAGGGGGAAGGGGGGGCAGGTTCTGGCTCGTGGTTCTCGGTAGGCCTAGAACTCTACCCACATCGACTGATGCCAAAGTTAGGGATATTCATATCGGCTTTGATAGCTCCGGGGAGCCTCCGGGACTCGCCCAGAAAATGGCGTTTCATTACATTCAACGCTGGTTTTTTCAAGCACTGTCTTATGCCCAGTACTGGTGCCTCCTTTTGTGAATATTTCTTTCCCTGTTCCCACATGTTCATGTTCCACCCTCACTCTTGTATCAGGTCTTGTACATAAGATCTGATATAAGTCATGCCTTAGTTTTTATTTTTCCCTTGGCTGCCAGGGGCAATAAATGGATCCGCATATGCCAGGGCCCACAAGCAAAACTTCGTATGTCCAGAGCAAAGGGTTCTTACACGCATCCAACTGTATGTTTCACCAAAAATAAACTTGCATATAAGATAAATCCCAAAATCTAGCGAGAGTGACAATGACCCCACAGGAAATCACAGAAAGCCAAACTCCTAAGGCCTTGGAATTCACCCCACATTGTATGATAGGGACGGCCAAAGGTGGAACTTTCACCCATTTCAGGGCCCGAAACTGGAAGGGAGAGGGAAATGGAGCATCAAACGCCAGCATGCAATCCTA